TATATATATTTATATTTATACATAATACATACACACACACACAGAAGTATGCACTTTTTTGGGGGGACTGAGGGTTGAGCTCAGAGCCTCACACTTGCTCTGCAGACGTTCTACCTCTTGAGCCACTCTGCCAGTTCGATACTGTCTTTTTAACATCAAGATCTAATTGTGCATTGATGGTATGTAGAGAACCGATTGACAATTCAATGTTAACTTTGAATCTTGTAAGTTTTCTATTATCGCTTCTAAGTTTAATGCGGGCTGAGGGAATTTGTTTTTTTACATTAGCCATCATGTCATCTGCAAACAATTTTATTTGTTCTTTCCTTTTCTTATCTTATTGCACTGGCTATGACTTCCAGTATAATTTTGAATATACATGTGCACTTTTTACACTTACTATTCTTTTCTAAGTTCTTACTCTTTAAAATTTTTCTTTTCTTCATTTTATTTGGTGTTTTATGTTGCTCATATTTTCTATCATTTAAAATGTCTCCAAATTTCTTTTGAAATATTGGGTTATAGTTTTCATCTGATTTTTTTCTGCTTCATTGTCCTTTTTTACTACAGGAACTTGATTTAAATAAAATTAACCATAACCCTTTTCTGTGATGTGTATTTCATTTCCTTATATTAGTTGTACAAAATGAAAGGTTTCATGTGACTGTCCATCCATGCACATGAAGTACTTTGATCATATTCTGTGCTGTAGTTTTAACAAGTTATTCTGTGGGTAGAATAACTTTTCTAGCCTCATGATTCTTGAGTTTCATTTTCTGGTAATTTCATAAAGTGACATGTATATATCTCTGTCTTTTCTGGTCTCTAGCTTCTGTTTCATCTTCTACTTATCTAAACCTGAGTTTTCCTCTGCCTCTGTAGCCCAGTCCTGTTCAGTTAAGACTTTAGTTCTAGTGGTTTCTCTATAGTGCTGGGCTTTGTCCCAGAACAGATCTCTACTTGGTTGGTTTTGGAGTTCCTAGACCTCGCACTATTCTGGCAATGTTAGAACTTCCTGCTGTTCCTTTGTAGTCACTCTCAATTTAAGAATCTGCTGAATCCCTTGCCAGTTTTGCTGCTGATCTCATACTGGTCTCCCTTGCATTTTAGGAAACAGTAGTTTTGGGGCCCTCCTGTTCTCAGGATTTTCAGAAGCTCTGCTGTATTCTCACCAATTCCTTCTACACAGGTGCTGGCATTAAATTGGTTTGTTCCCACCTGCTCACATGTTGAAGTTTGTAAGGATCCTTCTTGCTTAGTTGACTATGATCTGAGATTGTTGGTGTTGTTATTCATGTTTGGTTATTCAGACACTCTACCTGTTTTTTACGTAGATACAGACTGCACTGCCTCCCTAGTCGTCTTAGAACCTTCAATATTTATGTATTACTGGAAGGATAATATACTTTAAACTTTACTATATTCTTTAATCAACCAAGATGCAAGTCAAAATGAATATAGATAATAGGGTGATTATTCCTTTTTAGATAGCTTTAAGTTACATTTTAAAACTGTTTTCCTTTAGGCTTTCTTGAGCTAAAATAAAATTATTGGTGTTACTCTGTCTCCCCAGATCCCAACTCCCAACTTGCTAAAGCGTACTTTCAGACTTAAAATCAGATCTAGACTTTATGATAATGGAATTTATAATGACTATCCAATGTGGTCAAGGATATGGGGGAGCTCATAATTGTATTATCATGTCTTTTGTCTTACAATTTTGGGTCTGTCTGTAGCCCCCTTCTTGCTCTTAAATCTGAAGTCCAGTTTAACAACCTGGCTGCTAAGTGCCTGAAAATGGTCCTCAGATACGTTTATTTAGGCTGATCAGTATTTGTGATTAACTCAAAAGATACTTTTTTCTATTTTTTTATATAAATTCTTACTGAGTATAGTTAAGGTATATAACATGATGTTATTGGGAAAAATATACACAAGTAAAAAGGTTGCAACAGTGAAGAAAATTAGCACATCCATCTCAGTTACCCATTTTTGTCTTTGTTTTTGTGGCAATAGCAGCAAACATCTAATCATTTTGTATGAAAATCATACACAGAACAATTTTATGACCTACAATCCTTGGGTTATACATTAGCTGTCTGGACTTGTCATCCTGCATACCTGTTACTTTGTGTCCTATGACCTACATCTCTTTATTCCTTCCTCCCTTACTTCCTGGTAACCACTATTTTATTCTCTATTTCTGTATACTTCAATTTTTAAAAATGATTCCACAAATAAGTGACATCATGCAATATTTTTCTTTCTGTGTCTGACTTATTTCACAACATAATGTCCTCCAAGTTCATCTATGTTGTAGCAAATGGCAAGCTCTCATTATTTTTAAGGCTGATTAATATTCCACTGTATATATTTAGCAGTTTCTTTATCCATTCATCTATTAGCAGACATGATTTTCCATAGCTTGGTTTTTGTGAGTAATGCTAACATGAGCATGGGATTACAGATACCTATACAAGGTAATGATTTAATTTCTTCTGGATGTATGTCCAGAAGACAGATTGCTAGGTTATAGGATAGTTCTATTTTCTTAAGTTATGACAAATGCATGTGTTTATGTAATCCACAACCCTCACAATATATAGGATATATTCATTACCTCAGAAAGTTCACTGCTCCCCATACCCAGGCAATTCCCATCCCAAACCCAGGAGTCTATCAGTGTTCTGGTTTATACCACCTTAGTTTTCTTTCTTTTTGTTATTCGTATATATATTAGTTGCTCTATTTCTTAATTTCTTTAGAAACCTTCAAACCATTTTATAGTGGCTACTCAGTATTTTTAAAAAGCATTTTTTTAAAAATAGTTGCCAATATTTACAAACCAGATTTCACATACAAATTCAGACTTCTGACAGCTCTTAAAAACTTGAGGGTTGATGTCATTAAGCCCATGCTTCTACTTGGAACTACTTGTGCCCTGATTAAAGAGGAAAATGCTTTCTCAGGCTTATAACACTTTCCTCTCAGACAGCTTCTCTTATTTGTTACCTTTCAGTTCCCATGGACATTCTTAAGCTTGTAACCACTAGAAACCTCTTATATTGGCCTAAAGTACAAAAATGTGCTATTGATTTTTAAATGTTTCTTGCTGGATGCCTGTAGATTCTCCAGATTCCACACATTCAAAACCAAACTTACTATTTCTTTCCCTAAAACTGAACTTTCTGTGTTTCTCAAATGACCCAGTTAATGGAATCACAGTTTTACAGTTGTCTAAATTAGAAAAATCCTTAGGGTTTTTCTAATCCTATCCACAACTTTTCAATCATGTGCAAAACCATGACAAACTTAGTTCCTTTCCTTTCCTGACATTTGGAAAACTATTTACTTTCCAAAATGTAAAATTACTAAATCTCTGAAACTATCCCCTCTGCCCCAAGAAATATTTAAGTGCTCATTTCTACCTATTGGCATCTCAAGTACATTGTTCTACTGGTATTTATTTCCTTCTGGATGTTCTACTAGACTAGGAAATCCTAAAGGACAGAGATAATGATTTAGTCATCTTTGTATCACCAGAACTAAGTAAAAAACATGAACTCTCAAGTGTGTCAAATGTAAGTTGTATAAGTCAATAATTGTTTCACATCACATGACTTCATCTTAAACTTTCTATATGTGTCAATCTTTGGTTAAATTAAACTATTTGCTCATACTTTTTTTTTGGAGCTTGCTTTGAATTGCTTCTATAATCTTTAAATTCTGATCATGTGATTACAAAGTTAAATAGCTAAGTCAAAATAAAATTTATTGGCTCCATTTTTGAGGATTTTTAGCAATTTACAAATTGTTTTACTCTAAGAATACCAGGTAGTATCTCTAAAAATGCAAAATTATTTATAAAACAGATCCCATAGGAGCAACTGAACAGCTGTTGGAAGGATCTGGCACATCACTATGCCAGCCCGAATTTAATGACCTACATGTGCAGAGCTAGAGATCCAATTACTAATCCTCTCTCAGCCACTCTTTGCCCTGATATGGAGGCAGCTGAAAAAAGAAATGGATCTAGACTTCATTGCCAAAGTCACTTAACAGAGATCACTTAGATTTGAGATGAGGAAGAAACAGTGAGGGACCCACAACAGTTGGTTTTACAAATAAATATTTTGGTTTTTTAAACAAAATTTGAGAACTTAGTGAGTGGCTTGAGTTCTGACTAAATTCTGAAACATTTCAATTCTTTCAAAGAATCTCAAATTATGAATTTAATTTGCTATTCGTTGAAGCTTTTACACGTCTTCAACCATCAAGAAAAGCTAACTTAAGAATTCTTTCCATACTAAGACGGTAGACTGCCATTCAAAGACTCAAACGTAATTTTTAATATTCAAATTCTACAGTAATCACCTTTTAGAAGTAGGGCCAAATTAAAAAAAAATTTAAGACAATATACATGATAGTGCTTTATTTCACCCTCAGCTGACTTGGTTCATACACGGAACAAAGATTAATAAGGTCAAAATATTACAATGAAATGTCACCTGACGTTTTGCAAAATAGGACAGGAAGAATTCCTCGAAGAATGAAGTGCAAAGCGTACGTTTTACTTAAAGCCATCACTTAGAAATTCCCACTTTACATGCATTTTCATTGTGAATTTCACAACGTTGAACCTCCCACTTGAGCTATGTAAAATCATGCGATACTGGTATTTTCCTCGTATTAATTAGAAGACTAGGGAAGACTTTCCTCTCGTCTAATCACTGAATAAGAGCTTTTCGTCGGTTTCGCATTGCAATGTTTTTGGAGTCATGCTGTCTTAATCCTCCGGCCCCATCCGAATAAACGAATGAATAAATGTCCCCCGGTACACATTTATCTCTACAAGGGAAAAACAAAAAACGAAAAACAAAAACCCCCAAAGTTAACTACCACTCACTCCCCAAACCCCGCCCGGAATAAACCCCTCCTCTTTCCCCCACAGTCGGCTCGGAGTTGGCGCAGTTTGATGTCGCAGGCGTAAGCGTTGTAGGCGCCACGCTGCTTCTGCCTCTGGGAGTTGAAGTTTCCGGAGGACTCACGAGCGGCAGTGAAACCACTCCAGAAAGGCTTTCTGAGCACACATTCCCTATCAACTACTCGTCTCGGTAAATACGGCACTGAGGATGGCGCTTGCTTGTTGTTTGCTTTCCTTCCCGATGAAAAGCTGAGCGTTGCCATGCTGCCCCTCCACTGGGCAAGAAGGGCTTCCGGAGGAGAGGGGAGCCGACCCGTGTAAGTGGCGGTAGCCATCCGGTTTCCATAGGAAGTGACGTCATTGGGCGCGCTCCTGCGGCCCCCCTCACATTTCCGATTCGCCGGCTGCAGCTTAATCCCGCCTCTGGATTGCGTGCGCTGCGGGTCGGGGGTTGGGGGAGATGGCGTAGAAGGGAAGAGGGTGGGCGTAGAAGGGAAGAGGGTGGGCGTGGCGGGGCCTGCTGCCGCGTTACTTGTGGGAGTCACTTCGTAGTACGTAAAGAGGGCTAGTTCTACAAAGAATGACTGGAGGGGACGCCTGAGCTTTGAAGGGTCAGAAAACGAGTTATGGCAAGGCACTTTTGTGGCTAAAATCATGGGCAAGGTGCTTTACCTGCCTTCCCTCATTTCTCCTACGAGCTGAACTCGAGGGGAAGTTGGTGCAGATGCTGCTAAGTAAGCCTCGTGGTGGTGAGCTAAGGACGCTTTTCACGAGATCGAGGTGTTGCTTGATTTCATTGAAATACTTTGAGTGTTTAAAATCTGGGGATTTCCCCAGGGATGCAAAGAGGATGGTGACAGATTACTTTCTCACTTAAAAAAAAAACCTATCTCCTCTCCCCCTTCCCTGCCCACCCTCTCCCCAGAGACATGGCTTTTGCTACAGCAGATTTGTCCAACACGTTTTAAAAGTGGCCTTTGCCATCGTGATCAGGTCATTAATTGCATTCTGCGGTTCATCCAACATTTGTTTGGCTCTTTCTCGAGAGAAACTGTGTCATAAGTTATGAGGACTGATTTGCTCATTTGATAACACTTGCAAGTTTATTTATTTACATGTTTTACTTTTTGCCCTTCACTAATTTATGATGGGTGTCCTTCCCACACCAAACGTCCTTTATCCAGTTCCTAGTTTTTTAAGCACACCTGATAACTGACATCTGTGAGTGAACCACCCACTAAACAATTTTAATGCTAAATTGAAATGGCACAGAAGTATTTTTATAAATACTGTAAAATACGGTTCTTAAATATTTTTTTGAACTTGGTTTAAACAAGTGAAAATGTACTGTGAGCATCACTGCATGTCAGGGAGGAACCCAAAACTCTGCCGTAGAGATTTTACAAGTTGTAAGTCAAGTTACAAATAAGTATCCTTAGTAAAGTGCCATATTTCACATAGCAGGTAATCTGAAGAGGCTAATATTTAATGAAGTGTTTATAGTATAGACAGAATTGGAAGATACCTGTAAAGTATATGGGACACATTAATTTCATATCAAGGTAGTAGTTTTTCTGCATTTCACTTACTCATGTCTCAGTGTGGCTTGTTTATTTAAAGCCTAGAAAATTCACTTACTACACTGCATTTTCTTAAATGAATGATGATGTTGACTAGTTCATGACCCTTCCTTGTAGTTGATAGGCTTAAAAAAGTCACTGTGCTGTGATAGGTCAGGTTAAATTTAACTTGATATATTTTAGATTTGAAAGACAAATGCTCCCCCTGGTGTACATGAGTTGTAAAACATTGTTTTATATTGATTTTTAAATTCTCCTATTGTAGATCTAATCAACACTTTCAGCTTTTGAACAAAACAGGAAAAATAGCCAAAAATGTTGCCATTGATAAGCAGAAATATTATTTTTATTTATAAAAATATTTACTTATTTTTATTATTTCATAAAGAATATATTTTTTTTGGAAGTTTTAATTGTGCATGTTTAGTGGGCATTGTTTTCTTCACCTTTGCTGAACTTTATTTAATGTACTGTGTATGAAAAGGAAGTAAAAGTGATCCTGGAATCCTGATCAAATAAAAGGGATCATTATATACATATATATTTAAAAAATTTTTTCTCCCTTACAATCTTTTGGCTTGCTGAGTTTCGGTTTCCTACAGTTTCTAAAATTAAATGCTAACTGTATTGTCTAGATTTTTAGAAAAATTATTCAGTGGCACAGAAATAGAAGTGAGATCATTTTTTTCTTCGATTTCAGTGACATAGATCTGTGAACCCTCTGTCATCAGGGTTGAAACAACACAACTTTTACACTGTTTGGAACTCATTTTCTAAATAATGTTTTGAATTACTTGGAGGTAGTAGTGTTAAGACACGAGTTTGAATCCTAACTCCACCACTTCATCTATTTTTTCAGCCAAGTATTTTGAGTAGATACTTTGTGCTAGATTTCTTCAAGTTGCCTTATATCTTAGGAATTATTGAGTAGTTTTGTAATTCTGGGCAAGTTACATAGTTTCACTGTGCTTTCTTCCTTTTTAAAGTATACATAATACACTCAGCCTCAGAGTTGTTTGAAGGATTGAATTAGATAATAAATCCTTTAGGCATAATAAGAATTAATAAATGTTTATTAGTATTTTCATTATTTAAAAAAATCTCTCATTCCACTAATATATAATAAGCACCAAGAATCAGCCATTGTATTAGTATTACATATTACTTGTACTTTGTACTTACATTGTATTTTTAAAGAAACCAAAAACCATATAATGAAACTACTGCTTAAATTATGTTCTGTAAAGCTTTTGTCTTTTCATTATCTAAATTGTGGGACTTTTTTTTCTTTTAAAAAGATTATAGTGTTTCTTACTGACTTATTAGCTGCCTTTTAAAGATGATGAATCAGAATTTTCCTTAAGGCCAGTAGAGCATCATATTTAGTCTTTGGTAGTGATAAATAACAAATACATGTTTCAATTTTGTTTTTAATTATTAATGTATTTACTAGAGAGAAAAGGTAGTGCATGCTTGTAATCCTAAGATTTGGGAGGCTGAGGAAGGAGGATTACAAATTCAAGGTCAGTCTGCAATGCAACGTGTGACCCTGTCTCCAAAAGAGATGTAGAGAAAGGAAATATCATTATTTCTAGTCTTTCCCTAATCTGAAGGAAAGTTCAGTTCTAGTTATCAGGGTTAAAGATGTGTGTTGTTAAATATGAATGAAGATATATTTGAGATGACGCTAAGCATTCCATAAAGCCACACTGATTACAGAATCAACTTTTGTTTTTTTAGCTATGACTAAAGTGAAATATTTACAATGAAATATATTGAACCAATTTGTACTGTTCAAAGGTAGAAAATGTTGATAACCATAAGTAAGAATTGAACGTGTGTTTGTGTGTATGCCTTTTTTTACTTAACTAATTGGATGTAATAGATACATTGGGTTTTTCTGTTTGTTTGGTTTGGTTTTCTTATTTAAAATATTAAAGGTGGTGTGTAATGCCTCATGCCTGTAATGCCATTTACATAGGAGGCATAGGTAGGATTATAGTATGAGCCCAGCCTGGGCAATGAACATGAGACCATATCTGAAAAAACAACCAAAGCCAAAAGAGCTATGGTGTGGTCCAAGTAGAAAACTGCTTCCCTAGCAAATGCTAGGCCCTGAGTTCAAATCCCAGTACAATCAAAAATAAAAATCATAAAATAAAATAAGACTTCTCTTATCACTAAATAATTTTGGAAATATTATTTTTGTTAGTATTTCTGGCCCAAGGTATAGATGAACCATGATTTATTTATTCTCATCATATTAATATTCAGGTAGTTTAGAACTTTAAAAATAATGCCATACTGTCTATATTCTGGTGGCACTTTTTGTGTAAATTTCTAATTGATTTAAGAGACTTTGTTTCTAAAAGAAAATAAATTACTGGATCAAAGGTTCTCAATGTTTTAAACTCTTGAAACATAAAACTGTTGTTTTTGAAAGCATTGTATGATGACCACATATAATAAATTAAAACACCCCATTTTTTTAGACTTGCCAGCATTAAGAATGAATAATTCTTAATTGTTATTAAATAATGTTTAAATGATCTTTATCAATAAATGACATTTATTTATCTAATTTTGTTTGTTCTGTTTATTACTGATATTGTTTAATACTAAGCACATCTATTGGTCCACTTAGAGTATTTTACTTTTTTTTATGTTTGTAAATAATCTGTTCATGTCAAAGTTGCTTTTCAATATTTCAGAGACACCACATAATGTCATCTGAAATGTTGCCAGCCTTTATTGAGACTTCTAATGTAGAAAGAAAGCACGACTTAAGTGAAGATCAAGAGGAGAAACAAAAGACAAGATTAGATGAAGGGATTGAATCAATATCTAAACGACAAATGAAGAAGCTAATAAAACAGAAACAATGGGAAGAACAACGAGAACTCCGCAAGTATGTGTTTCAAAATGTATCTGCTGTATCCCTGTTCAGAAATTTGGGATGTTGAGCCTCTCATAGCCCCTTGACATATTAAAAGTATTTATGATAATAAAAAGGAGGTTCTACATATTGTTAGCTAGCACTGGCAGTTGACTATAAAAGCTGTTACGTGTTTTAGAGGCCTGCTATGACTCAGGCCTGTAATCCCAGGTTGGAAGGTAGAGATAGGAGGATCTTAGTTCTAGGCCAACCTGGGCAAAAAGTCATGAGATGGTCTTATGAACAAGCTAGGTATGATGGCACATACCTGTGGTTCTAGCAACTTAGGAGGCAGAGTAAGATTGTTGTCTTAGGCGGTCTGTGCAAAGGTACAAGACCCTCTCTGAAAACAAACTAAAGTGAAAAGGGTTGGGACAATGGCTCCAGTGGTAGAGCACTTGCCTCACAAGCACAGGGCCCTGAGTTCAAAGTATAATAACACCAGAATAAAAAATGAAACCAAACAGAAAGACTGTATGTGGTTTGAATTATTATTATTATTTTGCACTTAACTCTCTCACCCAGAAACTATTGTGAATAGCAGCATCATTTCTGAAACAACTTAGATAAAGTTTGTAGTTAATATCCATGTCCTTGATAAGGGATAAAAATAATCAACTGAGAAAGATTTTGACCCAACATGGATTTTACTAGAAGAGGAGGCTTTTAGGAGAACAGTAAGGCTGCAGCTATTACTGTATAATGCTAAAATTTACAAGAGAAAATAAAATATAGTTAGTACAGATTAGATGAAAAGTGAGGGTTTTTTTGAGCAATTTATTTTTTTGTATACCTTATTAATGTTGCTTGAAAATTATGTAGAAGGATGAACGATAAAAGTAGAATTCATCATAACTCAAATTTTATAAGGCCTTTATAAGGATGTATGATGCCAATATTGAGTAGAATAGCTAGTATTTAAATAAAAATCTTTAGATTGTTTTTACAAACTAATTTCCTTCCTGTGTAAAGCTACTAAACAGACTAAAATGAAAAATACTTGACTATTTTCGACCCACAGAAGTGGCAAATTTCGAATGGGTCAACCTGATGATTGAAAAAGTAATTTTTTGTCTATCTAGTACCGTCTTGTGAATATCTAAATATACTAACACCACCAAAAAATTATTACAATTACTAATTTCAGACAAAAGCGGAAAGAAAAACGCAAGAGAAAGAAATTAGAGCGACAATGTCAACTGGAATTGCATTCAGATGGAAATGACAGAAAACGTGTTCGAAGACATGTTGTACTTAGCACACTCCGCCTTATCATTGATTGTAGTTTTGATGATTTGATGGTATTAAAGGTATCGTGAATCATTGTCAGAAAAATGCTGTAGGTGAACTAGGCTGAATCTTTCTTGTTTTAATATATAATCTTGCTGGTATAAATTTATGTATGAAAGTATATCTTAAGTCAAATTTTTCAAATCTCCTCCTCCTGGTTAAATTAGTTAATAAATTGCTTTGTCATATATGCATATTTATATGTATGTGCTCATATATGTATAGACAGAGACACTCCATAATTTGATGATAAAACTTGATAACTGCATATTAATCCTAAAGATCTGTGGGATTCTGCCAATACTAGTCATAAAGAAGGGAAATAGTAATAATATGGCCCTAAGAAAAGAGTTTTTGTGGTCTCTTAAGAAAAGTAGATGTTTTTCATGAACTAGCATTTTAAATGGATACAACCTATGAAATCATGGGTTACTTACAGAGTATTAACTTGTAGTAATTCTGTTAGTATGTAATAAAATCAGGTGAAAAGTACCAGAATGAACTTGTATTTAAGAAGAAAATTGTCTATCTAGCCATCCCTTCTGCTTATTCTATTCCTTTAACACTGTGGAATGGCCATAGGTGATTTTCATAACTCTCTTTTAAAAATTGCACTCTTTATATAGGACATTAAGAAACTTCATAAGCAGATCCAGCGATGTTATGCAGAAAACCGACGAGCACTGCATCCTGTGCAGGTATGTCTGAAGGATTTAAAACAGATAGCAGTTTCCTTTTATATCTTCCATGACAAGAGACATAGGTAATCCCGATTGTTTTGCACCAGACTTACAGGTAATGTTGTTTAATGGTCATTTGAAAAATGTTTTCTTTTTCTACAAAAATAAAGTAAAATACTTTGAATGTATTTTCTCATGTGTCATTCTTAGACATACTCTTTCCAGTCATCATCAGTCTTGTGTTCATATTGGCCTGTTCACCACTGTGCACTTCAGTGTCTTTACTATAGAATACACACATATTTTCATACCAGTTTCTCAGCTTTCAATTCCTTCCTGTCTTGGGAGACCAGGAAGGAGTGGAGGCTGCCCTTGCTTGATGGGTACAGTGGACCTGTTATGTTTTGTCTACTTAAAGGACTTTATTTTTGAGTAACTGACAGATTTGAAAGTATTTCTTCAGTTAGGGTGAGGAAGTGATTTGTGAGACTAGTTGGGTACAACTAAGAAAAAGATCTTTTTTTTTTTTGCTTGGATTTTGGTTGATCTAAAAATTAGCACTGCCTCACTGATAATAAGAATCAAGAACTTTCAATATATTTTTGGTTAGATACTGTGTTTTTACCAAGTGATAGTAGGTAGTAGCTTCATATTTTTGTATTTTTTATACTTTATATCACATTTTCATGATAGTCTTTCAGTCCTCATTTTTTTCTGCAATGTGCTCCTTATCACCCCATGATTCAGATTTATAATAAGTATCAGGGTTTAGAGTCAAATAAAACTGTTTGCAGTGGTGGCAAAGAAACCAGGGAGGTTGATGAGAACTTGACATGAATTCAGGGAGTTTACAGAGAGGTGGGCATTAATGGAGAGGCAGATTATAACTACTTGAAAGAGAAATGGTATGAAAATGTAGATGGGATACTGAAGTTAGTGGTTTATGAGACGTGTCATTTCTGCTGCAAGTTTCTTATATGCTCAGTATGTCACAAAATGTTTTTCCTAGGTCATGAGAATATATTTGTGTTCATTGATGCTAAGATGAATGTACTAGGGAAATAAAATACTGGACTTAAATGGTCATTTTCTTTCTTTTTCTATGCCTGCCAATTCCTTATCAGTTTTACTTGACAAGCCATGGAGGCCAACTGAAAAAGAACATGGATGAAAATGACAAAGGATGGGTCAACTGGAAGGTAATTTAAAGATACTAATTCACATAATTCTGAGTATTTTTATGCTTCTAAAGCTCTACATTTGTTTTCACCTAAATTATATAAAATGCTACTCTTCAAACCCTGTGTGTCATTGAACCCAAGTATAAAGTTATAAATGGGAAAAGCTAAAGAGGAGAGTGAGATGTTTGCTCATTTGTACTTGCTCTGCTGCTATTTTATTGCCTACCTTAAAGCTTTTTTGTTTTTTTAAGGAAAAAATGTAAAGGTCTTTATTTAAATTCTCCCTAGCAAACTGTCTGTTATGTTACAATGATAACATGGGCATATTATGTTAATAATATGTTAAAATTAATTTTACCTCTTTTTTTTACTTTTTAATATATGGCTTTAAAAAGAAATCCGCCATTTAAAAAATATCATGGAAAATGATATCTGTGGCTTGTAGTTTTTCTATTGGACTGGCCTCTGTCATTTGTAAAGACACAAATAGATTGGCTTGGGTAACAATCCCTGCAGAACTCCTCTATTCAGAGAAATACTGGGTTATTCCTATACTTTATTTACTTAGCTTTTAGTTTTCACAGTGACAAACTTACTAAAATCTCATCTTAGCTGCATTTATGCCAATAATATGAACATTTACAAGTATGATGTATTTACTACATCCTTTGTGCCTATTTTCCTCAGAAATAATGTAATAAGTTAGAATAGATATACTTTCACTTACTTTATGCCTTGCTAAACTTTTTATTTATACCATCAGTTTTCTAATTACTCAAGTCCCTCTTGAGGCCCTTATTTATAGGGGTCAAATTTATAATACACTATTCTCCAGAAAAGTCACTGTATATTAATTGGTAACATAAAATTTAGGTATCTGCTTCATTCTTGATTTTCTTAAACATTAGGTAAAAGTCATCTGAGCCTGGTGATGCATTTTTTAATGCAGTTAATATGGCTTACAAAATCTGTATTGCCAAATACATGTACCTCTGACCAGATAATTTTTAATAAAGAAACTTCAAATTTGAATCTCTGTAGAAACAGACACAGAATTAATTAAATCAGTATGCAATGTCCTTTTGATGAGTCACAAGAGAAAGTAATTGGAGAAGGCATTTGTTGGCTGGAAAACAGTGTAATCAAATAGGCAATAAAAATGCATTGTTTTGGTGGAACAGAGGTAAAGTTGAATAGGTAGACCAGTGCCATAGGCAGGAAAGAGTTACTAAGCTGAGGAGTTTGAATTTTATCCTACAGGAAAAGATAGAGCATTAAAAGTAGTGTTTTTAGAAAATTAGCTGTCAGTGTGTAGAAGTAGATTGGAAGAGGCTCAGGCCAGAGATAGGGGAATAAAATTAGAAGAATATTTAAATATTGAGGTCTGATAATAAGGAATTGAAGTAGTAGGTTATAAATAATGATATTGCAATGATATTCTTTCAGACTTCATCTCAGATGTATTTGGATGGATTTGTTTAGAGAAAAGAAGGTAGTCATTTTCTGGCAACTGTCACAAAATCCTTAATAATGTCTTTCTCCTTTTCTTTTTAAAGGATATCCACATCAAACCAGAGCACTATAGTGAATTCATAAAAAAAGAAGACCTGGTTTATCTTACATCAGATTCACCTAATGTACTGAAAGAATTAGATGAATCAAAGGCCTATGTGATTGGAGGATTAGTAGATCACAATCATCACAAGGTACTTTGAAGTTTTATCTTTGGTTTTGCTCATACTTAAAAATTTTCCCGATAGTAACAAGAACACTCACAATAGCTGATCCTTATTGAGCAGCTACTATGTATTAGTTCCTTTCAAGCTATGCAAAAACTTCACATGTTTGAGCTTACTTATCCCTCACCATAATCCAGTGAGGTCGGGGCAGTTATTGCCTACCTTTCACAGATGAATCTGAGGCACAAAGAAGTTTAGTGTAAAATCAACAGTGATAGATTATTTGAAATAAGCCAAATTGTTCCAGAGTCCACATGCTTAAGCACTGTGCTGTACTGATAGGAGAGTCCACTGCTAATGAATTAGTAAGCTATTGAAATTTATACTAGTTCTTAAATATGTGATTTTCATTAGATGTTTTTATTTTCTGTCCTCTTGCTCTCTTCCCATCCCATACCCTCAGTTAAACAAAAAGTTACAGAACTGCACTTTTTAAATGAAGACAGCATTTTGCATTTTTTGTAGCATGCTAAATTCAATCTGAGTTTCTAAGGAAAAAAGTATGTTTTCTAAGTGTCTGAGGAAATACTGTTAGCACAGTAATATGAAGTAATTCTTTATTATTCAAAGGCAGCATTGTGCATGTAGAACTTTCAGCAGGGTTGCAGATGTTCATATCAGCCTGTTCAGAATGGTAGCTGTGCACTTAAAATGTGCACAGTGTGACTGAGGAACCAAACTATTAAAAATTGTCATCAATTTAAGTGTCAGATATGGCTACCAATTGAACAATGCACCTCTAGGGCATCATAGGGAATTTTGTCAAAATGGTCTTTAGCCTATTTTATTCTTAGAGGAAGAATTCTATTTTGTAATTTATGTGGAACCAAATTTCCTTCTCATGCTGTTTTTCTAAACAAATAATTTTGTTCCAAAATGACCCACTTCAAAGTATAATTGTTTATCTCCTAAATATGTAAACTACAAGTTGAGAAATTTAGCTTTGTCTTTTGGGCATTTTCTTCTGGAATAGACATAGGCTTCAAGAATTTTAATTAAAAATTTTTTTTATTGTACTAGGGGTATGTGACATTTACAAAAGTCATAGTTGAATTCATCTCCTTCATCATTCTCCTTTATCTCCTCTCCCCCATTCCTGAAATAGTTTCAACAGGTCTCATTTTCCTATTTACATACATGAGTACATAATATTTGTACCATGAAGACATGAAATTCCTATTCAATTGTTTTTTTAATTGACAGAAAAGGTAAAAAATAAAATTTGTGGACAATTTAAAATTCTTTTCATAAAGATTTCCATTTAATTTGTCTTTGCTGTTGGTGCCTCTTAGTGTTACGTAATTGACAGTTTTCTTTATGGCTTTTTTTTTTTCTTTTTATATTTACTACATGAATGGTGGTGCTTCTCTAAGAATTTGGTTTGAGATGTTTAAACTGAGAGAAGTGCATAGGGAATGGTGAAAAGAGTTTATTCAGAAGGCAGGTGAGCCAGATTTTCCTGTGGTTCTGCCCCTGGGAGCTTTGTAACTGAGCTGGGAATCATTTCTTTGGTCTCCTTGTTTATTAATTGAGGAGATTAAAACAAATGCTCTGAACATTCTAATTCTCAAGAGAATGTTTCCAAATTAGCAGTTAAATACACACATCACCTTCTTCAGATAATATTCTCTGAATTTTAATAAAACCTTTAAAAAAATACTTGTGCTATCATAGACTTTAAAATAATTTAATGTCCTAGTCTAAGTTACGGTGTCTTTATTTTAGGGATTCACATATAAGCAAGCATCCGATTATGGGATTGATCATGCCCAGCTCCCCCTTGGAAATTTTGTGAAGATGAATAGTCGAAAAGTTTTGGCAGTTAATCATGGTAAGCTATAAGGGTGTATGCTGAAAATATTCCTGAGTGAACATTGTGAAAAGGAATCATATACTTAAGATTTGTACAAATAGAAAATATTACAACTTAGTGGAGAAACAAAATTATAAAGAGTTTATAATTTGTTTAAATAATAGAAATAATAATGCATATTTCAGAAAATTTTGAAAATGTACAAAAGTATAAAAACAATTAGCTGAAATCTCACTATTCCCAGATACTTGGTTATAAACCAAGTGTTTCCTTCCAGTTCTTTTCCTGTGTATATGTAATATTTATTACATAATTAGAGTCTTACTCTATTACTTACAGTGTTACTAATCTGGGGTATTTCTCCTTCCCACCATTGTCATATTTTCCCATGACATTGAATAAATAGTGGCTATGTAATATTCCATCATCTAAATATACAATAATTAAAACATTTTCCCATTGTTGAATTTTTTTCTTTCCTTTTTACTGTCATGAATAATACTGTTTTATACTTTCTTGGACCTAATTCTTTACCTGCAGTTTTACTTATTTAAACTTAAGGAGAGAAGTTGTATATTTAGTCAATATACAACTACTTACTGAAACCCAAATAATTTATATATAGTAGGTTTTAGGGAGTTATAGAAATGAAATTATTGATTCATGGAACAAAATTCTGAAACCTTTGGCATATAGTAAAAATTACTTGTCTATAAAGTAACTCAAATTAGCCCCTCAGTAGTGACTTAGACATACTAAGTTGCCAATGTAAAAGACCAAAAAACAAACAAAAAACCAGCAAGAAGCTCCTCAGAGTGAATGGCTCTTTGCAGGACAGGTAGAAAAAACTTAGGTGAATGCTAATCAGTTGTATTTTAGTACACAGAGGATAAAGAAATGAAAGGGATAAAAAGGATAGGAAGGAAACTGAAAAGGTCTTCTGCCTTGATTATAACTAACAAGGGATACTGTTAAGTTTCTAAGCTTGAGAAGTGAATGAGGAAAAGCTAGAGAGGAGGTAACAAACAGGCTGGAAGGCTTTGGGGCAAATTGTCCCTGATAGCCAAAAGAAGAAAGAGGTAAGAACAAAACAGTTATTAGGACAAACTAGTACTCTTAACACAATGTAATAAGATACAGGAGAGGATGTAACATTGTGATGAACATGACTAAGAAATGAATGCAATTTGTTGTTATTGCAGTATTTGAAATTATTCTGGAATACCTGGAAACAAGAAACTGGCAAGAAGCATTTTTTACTATTTTACCCCAACGGAAAGGAGCTGTTCCTACAGACAAAGCCTGTGAAAGTTCTTCCCATGACAAGCAGTGTAGCAGGACTGAAGGTGGATCTGATAGTGATTCCAGTGAGGGGGAATGTAGCAGAAATGAACCAGACTCACCTCGGAAAGAGGAAAAGCAGGATAAGAAAAATAGCACTGAATCTGCAGTAAACTCTACACCACATTAATGCTAACTGTTTCTCTTTTAGCTTAAGGAGAAATCGGGACAAAGTAAGGTGTGTCATAAAATACTCAAATTGTAAGAAAGTTTTATTCTTATTTCATCTGTGAATTTTCAAACATTTTTAAAACAGCTAAATGATTAAAAAGCCCTTCAAACTCTCTTAGAAAGATTTTTTTTTGTGTGTAAGAAGATTTTTTAAAGACTTTTAAAAATTGTTTTTAAGTCTCAAGAGTTTGAGAATTTTATTTTACTAGTATATTCTCTATCATTTACTAGAATGTGTTCTTCAGGATGTGCCTTCTGACCTTTCAGTTTTATTGTTTTATGTTAATATCAATATCTTTGGATCTATTGCCTATTTATTTGTAGGGAAAGATATTCAAAAATGTCCTCTCAGTCTACTAGAATGTTGAATATGGGAGGTTACTCTCTATTTGAAGCATTCATAGTCAATAGTTAATTCAAGGAAATGCAGTAATTCTAAAAAGAAATGTCAGTTTGCTAGAGTCAACAATTCATTTCTTTTGGACTGTGGAGCCCGTACTTGTGCCTCCTTTGTGATGCCTTTTCATGGATCTGAAGCAATCATGAAAGAGTTGAGAATCTCTTTAATACATTTTCCTAATTCCTATAACAGTAATAAATTATTTCAGTTACAGAATTGAATTTTTGCAGGCTACATTATTTTATGACTGTTACTTTTGAAGGATAATTTTGTCTTTACCTGAATTTAAAGGGAAACAGCTCTTAGTTATTCTTTCCTTACATATATTTTTTTTTAAATAAAATTTTTGTTTGCTTTTAAGGCAAATATTGTGTATCTGTCTCCTGTAATAACTAATGTAAATGTGTGTTTCTGTAAATAACATATGCATGTATGACAGTATGCATGTAGTTGTGTTCACATCTGTTTGTCCATATCATGTATAGTTCTTGACTATTAGTCAATGATAACAAGACTGATTGGCATTATTTGTGTTGAACACACTAAGAGCAGTTTGAATTTCACTTCAAAAATCCATATCTAAACAGCTGTTTAGAAAGGAGGATGGATGAAAGGGAGCTGTTTTCTTAACAGTAATTATAGAGAAGTTATGTTTAAGGTAAAGTTGATTGTTCTTTGTCACAGCTAAAATAAGATTTCAGGAGCCTTTGCTGAGTTTTGGCAAAATAACTTTCTGTTCTTTTCTGTTTTTTTAAATATGTGCAAGTTATATTTAAGAAATTGTATAACTTACAGTATATATGTTGTATACTAACTCATACTCACATTTAGTAGAAAGCTCATTGAACTTAGTACTGATGTTTACTGACTCCTTTTGTTGATTTATTGGTAATCTGTTATAGTCATACATTAACAAGGTATATAAATAAAGGAAAGCTTTATTATTCTAAAAGAACAAGGCTTATGTTGTAAGTTGTATTTTTCAAAGATTTAGATTTTTCTAAGTAAATATGGTTTACTAGCATGAAATATGCCTATTACTTAAATTATCTCCTATGGAATTAGGGTGCTGTCTAATTATGAAAGGTGAAGAAAAATCATTACAGGCATCACATAGTTTAATTTTCATTAATTACAAAAGTCCTGTATTGGTTTTGTACATTTATTGTAAGTAGTCACCACAATCCATGTGGGTTAATCTGAAAAAACTTTATTCTCTGACAGTTCAGTCTTAAAAGTCTAGAATTGAGGTGAGGTGTAGGGCTAGACTTCCTTCAAATGCTTGAGGGAGGAATCATTCCCAATCTCATAGCTTTTGGTATTGTCAGAAATTTCTGGTGTTCCTTGTCTTGCAGTTGTGTCACTCCAATGTGCTTTGTTATCACGTGGTCTTCTGTCCTCTCTTCCATGTTTGTGCCCAAATTTCCCTTTTCTTATTAGAAGACCAGCATTGGATCACCATGATCCTTATAGCCTCATCTTGACTATATTCACAAAGCCCCTATTTCCAAATAAAGTCACATTTATGGCTACCAGATGTTAGGACTTGATCGTCTTTTGCAGGGGACATAATTTATTTACTATAAGCCCATATCTACACTATTGGTAGCAAGAAGGTAATGTTTACCAACTCTTTTAAAGTAACTACTTTCTAAAATATTTATAAATTGATTTAAAAAATAACATTTAAGCCTTTTTCTTATTTTAATGTGTCCTTTTCTCTCAACATTTTTTTGTTTATTTAGATGTACTATTAAAACTTTAGTAAACATTAAGTCACTTGTATTGGAATATAATAAAGGTAAGGAATTCAGTTAATACTTATATGAATCAAAAGGTTATATGTCTCCTAAAATAATAGGATCCACCCCTCCATTTAATTTCTTTAACTTATAGTCTTCATGAGCTAAGCTCCTTAAGGAAAGGAACATTCTTTAGTCTGATTCTCCATAGATTACTGTTTAAACATCTGATACTCACAGCATTTGAAAATGCTCAGAATAGACCAAAGAAAAGGATTCCACTGAAGAAATTTCTTTTAGGGGGTGAGTGAACAATGATGAAACCCACCAGTTATTGGTAATTACCAAGTAAAGAGATAAAAGGATGAAAGGGGTCACTGGAATTATGCAAACAAAAGGCAAAAATTGTGCATAGAGAAGTGGAAACATGTACACACAACAGGTGTAAAGTGAGATTAAAAACAGAAGAAAAGAGAATGGTGGGAATTATTTGAATTAATGGCAGTAAAAGCCTACAGTGGGGAAACTTTGATCTTGATCAGCATGGAGATGTTTATGAGACATATGTAATAGGCTTTTAATAAGTGTGATGAGAACCAGTGGCAGAATGAAGAGGTACTACAGTTGATGGAAAGAGTAGGGAATTGGACTAGGCTGAAACCTTGGCACTGCTATCTGTTCATTTTGAGACTGGACAAGTTACTCAACCTTTTAAGTCTCAGTATCCTTTGTAAAATGGGAATATTATCCCATTTATCTTATCTGTTAGAGTTTTAGCAAACAATTGTGTTTGAAAATAAGCACTGACTGACTAATGCACTCTTCTACTGGCTTACTCTTTTGCCTCATTTACCTTGTTTTTCACTCTTCCCCCTTGACATTGTCCACCCTAAAAAAGTAAGTAATATATGGGTGTTTGTTTCAGACTCTGGTTTCTGCAGGAACCTATGCTTTGACAAGATTTTTTAAATGCTAATTTACAGATGAGTATTCACTGAAAACAAATTACATAAATGTTTAGCGAAATGTTTATAAAAGCAATAAAACAATGCTAACTTAACATGTCATAACCACACAAGACCAAATCTGTATGTCCTGTGAACAAATATAAATGGTCTAAAGTTACTCAGATTGGATTTTTAAAAGTTAATGTATATACTACTAAAAGTAATGTTGAAAATAAAAACAAAATAGAAAAAGACTTATCAGGCTAATAAAAGAAAAGGAAGATAGAAATCACATTGGCTAAGGCTCAGAACTTTACAACAACAAAAAGAAGGCAATTCTTAATAAAGAACTACAGTTATGAATATCTATGCAGTAAGCAGCATAGTACTCAAATCCATTGAGAGAAAACTTTGAGAACTGGAAGAAGTAATAAGAAACACATCAGTAGAAGGAAATTTTAATTCATGGCTTCCTGGCCCATAATGGTTCAGGTTGATAAAAGATAAATATATGGAAAATATAAATGCTATAATTAATAACTTGTAGTTGACATATATCAAGAAAAATTCACCTTATTTTCCATTGCTCCTGGAATGTTTCTAAAACTAGTAGTTATAGTAGACTACAAAGGAAAATAAAATTCCCAAAGTAGAAATTATATAGGCAGTTCCTCTGGTAGCAGTATGTTAAGCTAAAAAATAAACTTGGGTGGACGAGATAAAAGCCTTCCACCTAGAACTTGAAAATATGTTTTCTCAAGTCATGGATGAAAGAAGAAATCAATTCTGAATTTGTAGAATATTTAGAAATTAGAAATAAAAATACGTTTCAGACCTACACATCTTGTTAATGTTTGACTAGAGGAAAATTACATTGTGTTAAAAACATGCTAAAATAAAGGCCAGGCATTGTGGCTCACACCTGTAATTGCAGCTTCAGAGGTTAGGAGGATTGCAGTTCCAGGCCAGCCCCTGCAAAAAGTGAGTGAGGACCCCCCCCCCCCCCCCGCCAATCTCAACAAATAAGCCAGGCATGGTGGTATGCATCTGTAATCACAGCTATATAGGAAGCTACAGTAGGAGGATGGAGGTCTGAGATTGGCCTGGGGTAAAACCTCAAGACCCTATCTGAAAAACAACTTAAAAAACAGAAAAGGGCTGGGGGTGTGTCTCAGGTGGTAGAGCACCTGCCTAGCAAGTACAAGGACTGGAGTTTAAACCTAGTACTGCAAAAAACAAATACAAGCAAACAAAACAAAAAATGCTAAATAATATTCAAGACAATAGGATAACAACAGATCTAAAGAAATAGGAAAATTATTGAACATACAAATAAATCCAGGATCCAAGTGTTTGAAAATGAACAAAGTCATTAGTTAACTAAATCAAGAAAAAAATATAAAAATGAGATTTCAGAATAAACTTCAGGAAATTTAGAATTATTACAAGACAAACCTTAGTTCTTAGTTTTTCATTTGGTGAAGGAAACTGACAATTCTTTATGAAAATGCAAAACTCCGAAATTGACACCCCCCCCCAAAAAACACAGAAACTATAAACTGAACATTTCACCAGAAGAAATAAAATTATAAAGGGCTACCACCCATAAAATCTACATTATCTGCTGGGTGAATTTTAATCAAATTTTCAAGGAAAAAGAATCTGCCATGGCATGGCAACTTCTCTATAACAAAGACAAGGAGAAAGAGTCTTCTACATTAGTCTCATGATTTAGCATGTTACTGATATGTATTGGTAGCATCTAGTGGTTAAGCACGTAGGTTCCGGTCATACCTGGAGCCATTCACTAAACCTGTGTAATTGTCCAGCAAAATCCTATTTTTCTCCCCATTAAAATACAACTGTAACTGAAATAAGTTTACTCCAGAGTTTTTATCAGCTTCCCTTTCAGCTAGGACAGCTCTCAGACATGGAATGAGACTAGAAGTGCTATTTGCCATTCTAAGGCTAATTTTAAGCATATGTACTGCAGTTAAATAGACATACTTCTTTTACATAAAGTATAAAATTACAAATAGAAATATTGTCTCTATTAATATTTATTTGTAGCATTATATACAGGTGTTTTGAGATTTACATGTGCCACCATAAAGAGGACCATCTGATTCTTTGAAAAAATCATTTGATGTTGTAAAATGTGAAGCTCATATTTGTGAAAGAATTAGTATGGTATACAATTTCTACCTGTGGTTATGTTAAAGGATAAAATGCACTTTGAGGAGAGGGACTGTATCCTTGTGGGCTACTTATTATTGACATTGGCTTTTCTGATCTGCTGTCCTCACTATTGGGCCTGAGAGGAGACTTTGATTTGTTGAAATATTCTGTAACAGGTATTTTCGTCTTGTTTCTTCTTATCAAGAATTCGGGCCTGTGCTCAGCCCCTGAAATAGAAAAAATCTAAATAAGACCGTAATTGAGACATTGAATAAAGCTTCTGCCTTGTTTTGGTAGAAAATGATACAGAAAAAAACTATATGAATCTTAGTGAATTCGAAACACCCAAAATTCATGAAAGAATCTATTCACATGTTTCTTACTGTGTGCTCATTTTTAAGGAGTGATTTGTTCTATAACATGCAGGACATGTTTTTTTCACTCTTAGAAGCAAAAATGATTTTGGTGGGAATGATTTGGAGTCAGTGATGGGTAAGCAGGTTGGGCAAGAATTGGTCCAGCAAGAGAAGGAGAAAGATCTGCAGTCCTGACAGATAAAACGAGAATATACGGCAGGCTAAAACAAATTAACAACTGTACTTATAAGACTTTTCTAAAGTCTACGTGGGTCTCCCAAACATGAATAGGATTTGGAGAAGATGCTGGATCTCAACATAGGACCATGATTTGGGGGATTCTTACACAAAAAAGTTCTGTGTAGGCAGGGTAAAATGTATGTAGGGCCTTCAAGTGAGACATATAGTTGAATAGAAACCATCATTTTCCTAATTTTATAGTCCTAGGGTGAGGAGTTTGGTAGGAAAGACCAAAAACTTTGGACTTCCTTGAAGTCAGAGGAAGACCATGTTTTTCATTTTTAAACTCCACCAATTATTGTCTTTTAGCACATAGAGCTGCTTTGGGATTTAGTAAATCCCCGTGGAAATTGCTAGAGTCTAGAGTGACCCCAAGGAGCTCTCATTGATTAACATATCATTACTATATAAGGGGGACTTGGAGAACTCGGGCAGATTTTTGTTTGAGGCTTGTAGATATACTTGGCAATTGTTGTATAGTCATTATTGCTATGCTTGCTTAAAAGGTAGAAGTTGTCAAACCTACAAGAATGCTTCAGTTGGACTATTTGGGGCCAACGCAGGACTTTCCACAGTTACTGACTCTTAGTTCAAATTATATGCTGGTGTTGGGCCTCTGGTGGGGCACACTACTCCTCTGTTGTATTTCAGCAGTCTCACAGGGCACCTACTTGTGGCTGGCTGCCATTTTACTCTTCTTCCAGTGAAATCATTTACTTCCATGACAGCTAAGATGTGAAGAACCAAAGCTCTGAGATCACTGTCCTTTGTATGTCAATGCACACTTTCCCTTTTCATCGAATTGGCATGACTACATCTATAGCTCTTATTGTCTCGCTGTCTTATTTTTATCCCTGATGAGACACTTTGCCTTTCCAAACCCAAAAAAAATATGTCAAATTTATCTTTAAGAGAAATTCAGCAGATTCTTTCCCCAAAGAGTTGAGATGAAAATCACTCTTGTATTTTGCTGATTTTTTTCTAAAAGCAGAGATCTATGCCCCTAAGGCGTTAGTCTGTCTTACTGGTTTCCTTATAATGACTCAGTAATTATCACAAACTGTACTTAACCTTGTAGTACTTCTCTATTTCCTTCAGATCCTTGACTTGACACCCTAAATCAGTTGGAGAAAGAAAAACATGAATTTCACAGATAGAAATTAAACTATAAGCTCAATGTATGTCTATCTTAAATATGCTATCCTAAGTCTTTGTTTTTAGTGAATATAGTATTAAATTACCAATGAAAAGTTCTCACTTTGAGTAAATATCTAATTATATCATATGCTAGTCACTAAGGTAGAGAGACTAACTCTTACTATCTCCTAGTTTCTGATTTTATGGAAACTTTCTGGTAGAGACAAATTTAAAAATAAAATTCTTTGTATTAATAATTTTTAAGATGACATATTGTTTTTTGAATACTCACTTTCTCTGACCTTAAGCTTTGCTCAATTTTTCATTTTAAACAAGATTATCTTCCAACTTACTGCACATTCTTTAAACGTTATACATAAATATGCATATTTCTTCTCTTATTGAATTACATAATTTAAGAAAAATTTCTTCTGAAATAATTTTCAGTTTCCTTAATGATTATTTTTCTCTCTGGTAGTCCCCAGGAATATGTCAGAGAAAACTAACTGGAGTAATTTATTTTTATTATCATTGTTCTACACATTAAAAAAAGATCATACCTGTATGATATTTAACAAAATATACATAATGATAGCAATACAATTTGTTTATCTTTATGGTTTCTATTTTCAGTTAAGATTTAAAAAACTGTCATATACTTTCTTAGATGTCTACTCTTATTTTTCCCTTAGTGGGAAGAGAATCTTTCTCAAAAGATTAAGTATAATGAAGACATAGCCCTGCCAAAATGTTCAGTAGAACTGAGAACAAGTCTTACATTACATTTATAAAAAATAAAGAATACCTGTGTGTGTATAAAATCAATCATTTCCTGGATAGAATTGGGACTTAAAAACCTCAGTGTGTTTAGCATTTTGAATGATAAGACAATTCCAAATCTTCATGTAATTGGTCTTAGAGGGACCATTATAGCTACTACCTGGGTAGTTGATTTCCTTCGCTAGCTCTAGTATGCACTCTTGACTTTACAGGTGAATTTTGGGGTGATTTGACTGTGGGTGGTGATTTAACTGTTGATGGCCTCCCATTCTCTGTTGCTGATTCCACTGAGGTGTTTCTTCTGCGGTGAGTCAACAAGTTTATCTCTGCCAGCTCAGAATGAACCAAAGCTGAGACCCACTCTTTTTCTGATTAAAAAAAAAAAAAAAGAAAAGGTTGTAATTTAATTCTCATGTTGGTTAGAAACGCAGGACTAGTTCTTTTATCTATCACCACAGTGTGAAAGGCTAGAAAGCCATTTTCTGGGTAGGTACTAATGTGTGAGTACACATTTCTACAAAAAAGCTTCAACCTAGTTCTGTTGACCTGTGCTACTGTAGAGTCCAGATAGTTAAATCACTGAGGTACTTGTGTTCTCCACCTTTAACATATCTTAATTATATATGGAGATATTTCCATTCACGAATATATGTACTTTGATCAAATTCACTCCCTCCATTACTCTTTCTTACCTTCCCTAACCTTCTTTAAAAAGTTTTAAATAGGCTTCATTATCCTATTTTCATACATGTATATGAAGTACTTCCATCACTCACCACCTCTTTCACTCTTTCCCCTCCTGCTGGTTCCCACCTCCAGCACTCTTGTTTTACACTTAAATGGCAGTGAAATAGTTTTAAAATACAAGTACAAACCCAGCCTTATTGGCTGCTGCTAAAAATATAAGGATACCTATACAACACAAGGATATTTGTACAAAAATAACAAGCATAATATGATCCCATTAAAATATAGGTAGTTAAATAACATATACTATAACCATGTCTAGAAAGATTACATGAAAATAAACACTGAAATGATATCTATATAATTTTATTGATTATTCCTGTTCTTTCTCATATTTTGCTCTTCTGGTTCGACTGTTTGTTTCTTCCCAAAGTAAGCATTTATTACTTTGGAATTTATTAAATGTTGCATTCTTAAAAAGGAAAAAAAAACTTGATAATGGCTCTTTCCAAGTACTTCTCAATTTCCTGCAAAGTAGACTTGAGTTTCTGGGGTAAGGTACTATTTCCTAAATACTCTCCATTTTAAAACATCAACCTGTCCCTAACACATTGGTACTTATGCTAACTAATGAAATGATTTTCAAAAGGTAGTCCCCATCCTAATATTAGCAGCAGCATCTGGGAGCCCATGAGAAATGTAGATTCTCTGGCCCCACCCCAGAGGTTTTACCCAAGATGAATGATCAGCTAAGGTTTGAGAATAGATGCTGCGTGCCACTTAAGATTGTCCTGCCTGGGAATGGAGAATGGCAAAGGTGGCAGAGACATGACCAAGTTGATGGCTTTGGTTGAAATTGCAGAGCTCTTAGTTTGAATTTTAGAAACAGACTCTGTGTTCAGGATTCACAGGCAGGCCAGAGAATGTACTTAGGGAGAGCCCTGGATGTGTGGAATTTAGAGGAAAAGCACAAACCAGCACCAGCTGAGAACAAAATCTCCCCTGCAAACCAGTGTTTCATTATCATCCTAGTGAGGTCAATTTGAGGCATACTGTATTTTGGATTTGTTGAATGACCAACGTGCATGCAGGTGGGCTATCCAAGACTGCAATGATTCTGGTACTGAAACACTGGGGAAATAATATTGTGTGTACAAATCCAATGTGTAAAACTTCAGATAATGAGCATACTCCCAATTTCTGACAATAACCTGAGCACAAATGACTGCAAATGTTTATCTTAATCTCACCTGTTGTACTGGCATGGAGCAGCCATTGTAGAACTTCTCCTAGAGAATCAGTATGTAAAATTTCACAGAGCTTTGCCAGGATCTGACAGAGAACATTAGAGTTACATATTGAGAAAGTAAATGGTACAACACTAATAAGATTTCCTTTGTCTTCCTTCAGAATCGAATCTCTCTAAATGTCATTCTATACATGATGCTCAATTAAGGCAATTGGGATTTTCATTTGGGGGCCAGATTTCAAACAGTAGGTGGAAGAATCTTAGCAAAAACATCACTAGTAGAAGTAGCAGTTTAGGTTTGCAATGTTCTGTTTTTCTTGTGTCTATTCTGTTCCAACACCTTCTGGTAGGAGCAATTCACTTGTTTTGGGAAATCAGTTCTTTACCATTGCACCATGGGGTTTTAATGGGAATCTGCTAGTCACAGAATTGGCCTTATTACAGTATAGATACTTTGAACCCAAGCTATCGGAAACTAAACTCATATGTCTCTTCCTATAATCTGCTTCAAACTTGTTCTTTCTGATTGTCCTGTCTCTGTGAACATGGACAGCATACAGTGAATTGTTCAAGCCAGATCCTGGGATTCATCCTGGGCAAGTCCCTTGCACTTTTCTACAAATACTGCCAACCAAAAGGTTCAGTAAATTCTACCTTCTAAATATTTCTCACACCTCTCTATTTCTTTTTAATCCCTACTGTCTTGATACAATGTAAAGCAACATCAATTCTTACTTGAGGTACTAAAACACACTTTCTCCTAGTCTCTCTGCTGGAAATTGTAAGTTATTATTAATTCAACAAATACTTGTGTCAGCCATTGATCTAGATGCTAGAGATATTGAAGTGCAGTCAAAGGGCTGGAAAATCAACTGTCTATATTGAACTCTGTGGTAGCATTAAGATTTCTGTCTTCAATAATGCCATATCCTACAAGACAGCAAGTTAAAAGTGCTCTTAATTTTATAGTAAGTCAACCACCATAGCAATAACAGAAAAAGAACCCTATGGGATTTTCTAGGCTACTCTGCCTCTATGTTTTTATGTTTTAAAAGATCAGTATTGTGATTGTACATTACTACTAGCATCTTCTAACTCATAGAACATTCATTCGTTGGTCAACTACATCGTAGAGAGTATAATTGTTCTTTTAGTGAGAGGAAGTATAACACGTCTTCATGGAAACCTCCTGCATTCTCTTTGTTATGGGTACGTAAGCAAACCCATAATGGACCATAATAGCTTGCCCTCTCTCAAGGTAAATATTTGTTTGTACAGTTTGGGACAGGGACACCTAAGCCTGTAAACCTAGCTTCTGAGCGTCAGGGAAACTATAGAGCTTTCAAAAGTGTCCCAATTCAGTCTGGATCATGTCTGGAGAAAGGAAAAAATATCCAATGAGTAGATTTTCTCTGTGATTCTATACTTTGAAGTCATTACAGTCATTCATCAGAATACCTTTAAAACCTTTTCTTCTATGATATCAAGATTCCTAAGAGCAGAGACATCTTAAATCTTCAAGGTAGCCCCATGTTTTTTTTCCCCCCATAGAAGTAACTGGATACTATGTATGTATGGAATTCCCTGAGTTGTCATAGCTGGCAAAAAACTCACAGCACACTACTAACAAGGTAGAATTGAAAAGTCATCTTCTAACCCCAGAGAATGGATTATTAGCATCAGAAATGTCCACTACTATTTAGCAAAGAGTTTTAGGACGCTATTCTTGGTGCCAAATATAAAAGTTGTCCTTTTGTCATCCCGTCTTTGTAAGACTTCCCTATTCTCACTCAAATTCTCCAGAATAGTTCCTGAGCGTGAGTTCTGAGTGTCTGTCCTGAACATATTTCATAAAGTGGCAGAATGTATCATTGACATCCTCCTGTTTTATTGGCATTATTTTATAATGACAGATTGGTGTAGTCTAAGGATGAGGGCAAATTTTAATAGATGTAGGAATTTCTTAATCAGACCTGAAATTGCTCACACTATGAGGAGGCTCTCTAGCCACTTCACCTTTTAGATTAGAAATCAAAGCCAAGGATCCACTTTCAGTTTGTATGTACTATGGCTTAAAGGAGTACAAAGAACATGGTTTAGCATCTCTTTAAAAATATCTTTTCCCTCACAAGTCATAAGGTTAGGTCTGGCACAAATTAGTGACTTAATCTCTGGAAAGAAGGGCTTGGAAGGATGGGGAAAATAAATTGGTGGTGATGAAGACATTGCCAAAAGACAACATTACCCAAACCAGTACTGGGATTGGAGATTTGTGTGATTGCAAACTTAGATCTAAAACACAATACTCTCAGATCAAAGAAACCTGGTTTTGCCAAGTTCTGGAATAGCAGACTTCTATCCCTATGAACTGTCTAATGTTGTGTATTCACATTTACCCATGAAAAAATATGGTAGGTCATTTATTGGTTGGTTATTTAATAATCAAAATGGAGGAGTTTTCATAAACTCTGAACATCAGTATTAAAATAAACAATTCAGAATATGTTTACTAATTGCCAACCTCTAGCAATTGAAAAGGCTAAAGCAATGCCTTTACTACAAGTTACCTTGTCTATCAATCTCTATCTTTTACTTTTGCATGGGTTTGAGTGTTCCATTTGCTATTTGTTTTTTTCCCTTTCTATTTTTGTTCCCTTTTTTCTTTGCCTCCTTTTTAGGTCAATCAAGCATTTTTTTAGTATCGCACTTTATCTTCTCAATTGACATTTTAGCTACACTTTTTGGTGGGGATTAAAATGTACAACTTTAACTTATCATAGTGTTCCTTGAATTAACATTATACAACCTTGTGTATAATTTAAGAATATTATGATATATTTCCATTTCCTCCCACCTAGACATTAAGTTATTGTTGTTATGCATTTTACTTTGGTTTCGTTTTTATAACTATACTTATCTTCCTTTTAAATCATCTTCACTTCTGAAATGACAGTGTTTCTGTTCTTTGGATACTTAAAAATGTCATTCCATGACCATAGTTTGCAAGTTCCTAGTGAGAAGTCAGAAGTCATTTTTATCATTATGGGCAGTGCATTTTCTTTCTCTTGTTGCTTTCTCTTTGGATTTTAGCAATTGGATTATAATGTGCCTATATGATTTCCTTTGTCTTTATTTATTTTTGCGTTTTTGTGTCTTCTTGTTTTTTTTAAAGTTTCTATCAAATTTGAAAAAATGTTAGCTTTTCTTCAAATAATTTTAATGCTCTAATCTGTCTTTCCTTTTTTTATGAGACTTTAATTACAGATGTAGAAGAACAGTCATTATACTCTCACAGGTTGTTATGGTCTTTTTCTATTTATAGTCCTTTTGCTTTATTTTGACAGGTTACTATTGCTCTATCTTTAAGTTACTGATGTTTTGTTCTGTAGTGTCAAATGTGATGCTAAGCACAATTATGAAATTTTGGTTCTATTATGGTTTCTATTTGATTTCACTATTATGAAATATTATATTTCTCAATTCTATAATTTTCTCTTGGTTCTCTTTCTTATAAATTTTATCTCTCTTGTTAGATTCCCCATGCTCATTCATGTCCATTTTTGTTCCTATAAATCCTTGAAAATATTTTGACTCCATTTATAGCCTTTCCTGCTAATTTCAATATGTGTCATTTCTGTGTCTGTTAGTATTAACTCTTTTTTATCTTCTAGTTATAGCTTAGAAAGTCCTATTCCTTACATGTCTACTAAGTTTTTGTTATGTGATATGTTTTATATATACATAGTGTGAAGAGTCTATTTTTCTTGTCTTCCCTTGAAGAGTATTGAGCTTTGTTCTGAAAGATTGTTAATATATTGGCAAGTGAGTTTGATCTGTTTAAACTTGATCTTGGGATATGAGAATTTGGGTTTAGAGTATTCCAAACTGTAGGGCTAAAATAACTCAATTCTTAAGTTGTGACTTTTCTGGGTCTCATCTGAATTCCTGGAGCATTAGGCAAGTCTCTCTACTCTGGCATGTGTGAACTCCAGCCACACTAAGCTGTGTTACCTCCCATTAACTCTCTTCTACCGGGTTTCAGAATCTCACCTTATGCATGGAAACTTAATATTGGGCCAAAGACTCAGTAGGACTCTGTACAGACCTCTCAAGCTCATTCTCTACATCAAATTCTCTTCTTCATTTGCTTACTTTGCAAATTTCAGCCACCTCAGTAACCTCAAACTCTAAACTCTCTTTTCTTTACCTAGTAAAGCTACTATCCTCTGTTTGGGCTCTGTTTCTCTGTGCCATGATTGGAAATGAGCCCCAGACAGAAGTCTGAGTTGAATGTGGATATCACCCTAATTATTTCTCTGCTGCCAAATACCTGAAAACAGTTTATTTATACATTTTGCCAATTTATGTAGGGTGGTTTACAATAGGAGGCTAAATCTTAAACCTAATTTATCATTCTGTAAACAGAGTCATTTACCTGAAACTTTACTGTTCCCTCTACCCCCAAATCATGACTAGTGATATGTTTGTTCATTGCATTGTTCTGCTTTTTGGTTTGTTAATGCTGTTCCCAAGTTATGTATTTAGTATTCCTGCCTCTTACTTTTATTTCCTGATCCAGATAATTTGGTATGCAAACAGTGTTCTCTTTGACATGAGTCTTGGGGCTCATCACCTCTGAAGAACTGGAGCCAGCAGTAGAGGACGCCTTTGGAGGTGATGGTGACTTTTTGGCCTTAAAATCCTCCTAAATCAAAGGTTTGATATAGTCAGTATGCATTTTTCCCTTATATTTTATATGCAAATTATTTGTAAAATTAATGAGAAACCTTGTAGCTTAATAAGAGAGGTCTTTGGGTCTACGGATATACCACCCTGAATGTGCCCAATTTTGTCGATCTCAGAACTAAACAGGGGCAGATGTGGTTAGTACTTGGGAAAGATCAACAAAAGCAAAAAGTGGTTAGTTTCAATCATCCTTTAAGCTCCAGCAAACATTTATATTTGGAGACAAAGCAAATGGTGATGGAATATTCACTTTTGGTGAGATCACTTAAAGTTCTTGATTAAACACCAAGTAATGTAATGTGTAACCTTTATTTATATGATAGCTCTAGACAACAACTAACTCTGACACATGAGATTTGCTATTGAGTTGGGAAGTTTTTGCTTTTATGGCCAGGAAAAAACAAGTGAGTGGTTTTACGCTTTGTTTGTCACTTTACTATGTGAGCTGCTGCTCCTTGCTCTGCTAAGTGGCAGCTGAGCACTGGAGAGTTAGAAAGACAAAATAAATTTTCTTCCTTGATTACTGGAAGAGGAAGTAGTGCTGGTGGGTAAATACACTGTTTGCAACTTAAACAATGAAAACGAAGATTATGGGAAATTTTAAGTTCAGGAAGTGTTATACAAAGCCTTAGATCCATGCACCTGTTCCAGGAAAGGCTTTTTAACACCTTCAAATGGACAGACATATAAAGACACACAGAGGCTAATGACAAAACCAGTCAACAACCTGGGACTGTGATGACTGGAACTGATAGATTGACATTTAGTGGCAATAAAGCTTTATTGTATTTAAAGGCATTCTTTTTAAAAAATTCATTGTGTAGATTTACTGGGGAGATGGTAATATACCCTTTTTATTCAACTCTCCCATTGAATATAACTAAATAATCAAGTTAAAAATTAAAAAAATAAAAGATAGGCCAGGCATAGTGGCACACACCTGGAATCCCTTGGAAGGCAGAGACAGAAGGATGAAGGATTTAAGGCCGCCTAGGACTACATAGTGAGTTAGAGGCCAGTCTGAGAAGCCAAGGGCTGGAGATCTAGCTCAGCGGCAGAATAGTTCCTGGATTTGACCCCCAACACCACAAAAAATTAAAACTAAATAAGTAAAAGTAAAAGAATAAGAGCAAATAAAATAGTAAGGGATTAACAGGTCAAATTGAAATGGAATTAAGAAGCCAGAAGTGTATCTGTGAAGTTTCCATTTTTGGCCTGAAATAATTATATGATAATGAAAAATGAGAGTGAAAAAAAAGCCACCCAAGAACTACACCCTCAAGTTGAAGGTGACCTAGAATACAACAGTTCTTGAACAAGTACAGTACAAGATTAAGATTTGAACTTGGTTTAAGTTGGTCTAAGCTGGTAGTGCCAATGGGTTCCTCAAAAGACAAACACAAATTCTCTAAATGAAAGCCCATTCATCATGGGCTTTAGAGTCCTTTAAATAATTGTTTCACACATAATGTCCAGCAATTTAATCATAAGTCAGAGGAGAAAGTCTAATGAGAAGTAGAAAATATTTTGAACATTATTGTAATAAATATGTTGATAGCAAAATTTGTGAAAGCAGCTAAAGCATTCTTCAGAATAGAATTTATAGCTTTAAAGTACACATACTAAAAAATAATTTACAAAAAATGAGGTGTGTGGCTAGAAAGACAAAATTGTTAAAATCAAAAATTAACAAAATAAAAAAGAATATATAACATAAAGGATCAAAAAAAATCACAGAAATTAGATTTTGATACATCACTAAAATTGATAAACTTCTGTTAAAGGTAAGCATGAAAACAAAGGCATTATTATGCAAAATAATACCTACTATGCAAAAGGGTGCTTCTTACAGATCATGAAGATTTTTTTAAGAAATATAAGGATATTATATAGAACTTTGTCAATAAATCCAACCATTTAGACAAAAAAAAGTTGTAGAAAAAAGACTATATTATCAAAATTGATTCAAGAAGAAATGGAAAATACAAAGAGTTCTATTGCACAATAGGTTTTGAAGCAAAGAATGTTATCAGCGATAAGGGCTATAATTTCATATTGATCAAAAGGTCATTTCATCAAAAGGACATAACAAACCTAAATAATTATACTAATCAAAGGCTTCAAAATACACAATTAAAAACTGACAGAAATAGTAAGAGAAATACAGGAATCCGCAGTTATAGTCAGAAATGCCAAACACTTCTCTCAGTAGATAACTGAAAAAGAAGACAGCCAATCAGTAAGATTATAGGAGACTTGGGAAACAGTATAAGCCGACTTGACCTAATTAATACTACATTTCGTCCAACAACAGCAGAGTGAAAATTCTTTTCATGGGCATAGGAAAAATTTATTAAGGTAAATCATACTCTGGGTTATATAAAAAGTATCAACAAATTTTAAAAGTTTCAAACATACTAAGTATGTTTTTGGACCACAATGGAGTTAAATTGAAAATCAATAACGTAATGATATCTGGAAATCACAAAACACTTGGAAATTTTAAAAAACATAATTTTAAGTAACCCATGAATCAAAGAAGAAATTAAAAAGGAAATTAAGAAAAATTTTGAATTGAATGAAAATGAAAACTCAATATAGTAAAATTTGGGATTATAGCCAAAATAGGAAAATTTTATAAGAAAAGTATAATAATGCATACTTATATTAGAAAGGAAAAATATGTCAAATCAATGGTTCCAGCTTTTAGTATAAAGATAAAATTATTGAAATAGGAAGAGAAAAACAAAACAAGAGAATTAAAGAAATAAAATACTGATTATTTTAAAACAATTAAACTTATAAACATTTAACTAGACATATCAAGAGAAAAAGAAGACAAATCACCAATATCAGAAATGAGAAAATAAACACTTGTACAGCTTATAAAATCATGAAAAAGGATACTTTACAAACAACTATATATCAGTAAATTCAACAAGGCAGAAAAAATGGACAAATTCCTTGGAAAGCACAAATGGCCAAAGCCCCCTAAAGAAGAAACAGACAACCCAATATATACCTGTCTGCATGTGTGTATAATTTTTCTAAACCCAAAATAGCATGCTTACTGTGAACATCTAGAAAAATACATAGAAAGGTATGATTCCATGAAATTATGATGGATTTCCTGGACATATTTTTCATTGTAGGTTTTATGCACAAGGTAATAAATTTGTGCATGAAAAAATAAACTGATTTTATCTATGAAAAAATAAATTGATTTTGTAGCCAAAAAACTCTGAAAGAAAACTCCAGGCTGAGATGGCTTCACTCAAGAATTCTGGCAAACTTTAAAAGAAAAATAAAATCAATTCTACATAAAAACTTCCAGAATGCTAAAGAAGAGTTCCTAACTTTTTCCAGTATGCCAACATTATACGGGTACTAAACCAGAAAAAAATATTATAAGAAAATAAGGATGCTGAACAATATTTCATAAAATACAGTATATAAAAGGATAACACATTATGGCCAAGTGGAGTTTTTACCAGGAATGCAAGGTTGATTTAACTTTGAAAGTTAACATTTGAAAGTCAATATGTTTAACACTAAAAAGAAAAATCATGTGATCATGTCAAGTACAGAAAAGCATTTGAAGCCAGGCACTGGTGGCTCACCCCTGTAATCCTAGCTACTCAGGAGGCAGAAGATCAGGAGGATCAAGGTTCAAAGCCAGCCCCAGCAAAGAGTTTGAAAGATCCTATCCTGAAAAAAACCTATCACAAAAAGTGCTGATGGAGTGACTAAGTGTTAGAGTGGTCCCTGAGTTTGAACCCCAGTGTAGCAAAAAAAAAAAAAAAAAAGCATTTAACAAAATATATCCTCCATTTTTAATAAAGCTCTAAAACTGGAGAGGAACTTCCTTAGCTACATGAAGGAAATCTGTCTATGACTAAAGTAAATAAACAGTTCCAGGTGAAAGTCTAAATGCTTTTACCTATGATCAGGTGTAAGGTAGGAATGTCTATTCTGACTGTTCTGTTTAACATCCTACTGGAGGTTCATCCATTGCAGTAAGGCACAATGGAGACAAGAAGCATGCAGATTGGCAACTATATTAGAAAAATTATAAATTGGGGCCTTATAAAAATTATTAATTTTTTGTTTTTTCAAAAGACACAACAAAAAACAAGGCTTTTTTGAAATATAAACATGGCAAAAAGATTTACATCTAGAATATATGAAGAACTTTTACAATATCATTATAAAAAGGTTAAAGTCCAATTTCAAAAGTAGGTGAAAGACTTGAAAATATTCTTCCCACAAGAAACTACACAAATGACAATAATATGAAAAGATGCCAAGCTCATTAGTCATTACAAAAATGAAAATTAAAGCCGCAATAAGATACCACTACAAACCCGCTAAATTAGCTAAAGTTGAAAAGACTAGCCGTACTAATTTTTTAGAGAATGTGGAGAAAAGAAACTCGTATGTATTGCTGGTGGGAATATAAAATGGTACAGCCACCTTAGAAAAAAATGCTTAAGAATTTAAACCTACAGCTACTGTAAGAGTCATTCCACTTCTAGGTATTATTCAAGGAAAAACAATGAACATATCCATACAAAGAGTTGTATGGACATGTTCATATTAGCTTTGTAAAAAATTAGAAACAACCCAGTGTGCTTCAATAGTTGAATGGATTAACAGCTTGTGGGAGAATGATACAAATAAATACTACTCAGCAACGAAGAAAGAATGAGCTACTGATGTACATGACCACATGGATGAATGTTAAAATAATCATGCTGAATTAAGGAAACCAGATTTTAAAAGAGAACTCATTGTTTGAGTTCATTTATGTAAAAATAAAAAATCCGAATCTAAATCCCAGTCCCATCAAAATTAAAATCAATAAAATTAAAACATTCACATTATCTTTAGAGATAAAAAGCAGATAAATATTTGTATTGTTCCAAGCCAGGGCATGAGGACACTTTGGGGACTGACAGATATATAAATTCTCTTGCTTTTGGTGCTGGTTTCCCAGATGTGTATATGAATTTATCAAAACTCTGCAAATTGTATTTTGAATATGTGCATTTTATATTATGTTAATTATATTTTAATGATGCTACACAGATATTGTGAAACATGACTTTTCAGAAAGATATGCAAAGGTGAGGGAAATCGAAGTCAAACTAAACAGATAGCTGACAATAGTTGTTTCTTTACCTTTTTAAATACTAAGGGATTTTCACTGGAAGTTTTGTAGCATTCACTGATTTTTCTACATGGTTCTGAAATGAAATGGGGAAAAATATATTTAAATTAATCTATAAAGGAATTTCTATTCTATGACATATGTGTCAGTTGCTGAAATAGATTGGAGTGTATCTTAATATAAATTAAGATCAACTCAGGGATGTGCTTATAAATATTAAGAAACTTGGAGATAGAATTACATGATAATAACATAAAAAGTATATTTTTGTATTAGAACTAATTATCTTCACACTATAATATATAAAAACATACTGCAAGCTTTCTTAGTCCAGTCAAATTGATTTAAAAAGTGCATAGCTCACTATAAGATATGTTTTTCTTATTTTCATATCTGATTTTAAGTGTTTGCTCTGAAGATAGATTTTTGCTGAGTTATACTTTATTATTTATTTTCTGTCTTATTTTATCAGCCTTTTAGCCCTACCCTTAATCAGTCATCTAACTAACTCCACCTAAACTACTCCAAAACCACTCAAAGTTTTACTTAATTTACTTTATATTAATTTTAAGATATATCCTGTGTAAGTGATATCATCCCTTTTATCAAAGCCGATACCACAATTTTAAAAGATGAAAAGATTTTGTTTGTAATTCCAATAACAACTAAACTCATTCATTGTAGCTGAAGAGAGATAGAAAAATAAACTTTAAAGTTACCTGTCTCTAAGTAATGAAAACACAGTTATGGGTGGTGAGGATATTATGTTAATGTCTACTTGTGGAAAATAGAAACTACTCTATTTTAAGCAGAATGTAAATAATATGAAGAAGCAAGAATGTTTAATTTAGTGTTGGAAGTACTGGGCTGTGAACTCTGGTCTTGATATTCACAAATCACTACCAGACATCTTGGGCCTGATCCACTATGGGTGACCCAGGTTTTACCACACTCAGAAGGAAGTGGGGTCAGGAGGCCACTGCCAATTTAATTGTTGCAACCACATCCACGAGGGTAAAGATCAGGTACTGGAATGCTGCTGCAATCACAAAGTCACAGTATCTGCTGAGTTTGCCTGCTGATACCCATAAATCCAGAATCTGAGCACTGGGGTGTTGTAGCAAGATAACCTCTATCTCCAGGCAGGCTTGATAACAGAAAGCAACCAAAAAAGTGACCTTAGTCCCTTAGTCCCTCCCATAACTATCCTATAAATCTTAGGTGGCAACACATTCCACGAAGAGACTGTCTTGCAAATGTAATTTTTGTTCCTAGGTTCTACAGGATAAGAAGGGACTCCAAATAGAAGGTGGACAGAGTGGGCTTAGACTCTTCATTGCCAATAGAAGGGAGGGAGGAGAAGGTCTGGAAAGGATAAAATGTGTTGACAAGTGTGAAGACCTGAGAATAGCATGTGCCAGGTAGTAAGTAGTCTGTAAGTAATCTCTTTTACTGTCTTTAGCAAGAAATATATTTTACTACATTATTCCAAAATAGTTTTCATATACCCTGATAGTTTTACTAATACAGAAATTATATGTGGAAGGTGAAAGAGAACTGGATTTAATTTTTTGTTGTTGTTGTTGAATCTGGGGTTTGAACTTTGAGTGTGGTGCTTGCAAAGCAGACACTCTATCGCTTGACTCACACCTCTAGTCCTGGATTTAATTTTTAACATGCAGAATTCCTTCCTTTCTTGTATTTTTCATGGCCCTATGGATTTTGCAACACTTTACTTTTGATAATGTTTGGTGACTTCAATAAGCATTAATTAATGCAGTGAAATGTCTATTAAGGTCCAGGCTCTGTGCAGGGGGACCTGGGGACAAAACAACAGTGGCAAAAACATGGAAGACAGCGGCACCAGGGTGTGACCTTAAGGAGACAAGTATCCCCTGAAAGATGTAAACATGAAATCCCATCCCTACTGTATTTTTTGGACCCACTTTTTTGTCTGACTTGGTTTCCTATCAGTGTTGGCTAGACAGTAATATCTAGTTTGTCTGAACTAGTTTTGATAGGGATTAGAGACTATTATCACACAAAATATGTCTTGACACAATAATAATAACAGTAGTAATATTTGTTATGATGAGAAGAGTAAATATTTTTCTGCAATCAATAGCCTATTTTATAGTGAAAATATTTCATGGCTCTTTAAAAATCACTGTAGTTCTTTTACCAATCACATCTATTTCTACACCAATTATTTGTAGACAGCCTAAGGAAATGTTCCATCTGTTGAGAAAAACTCACCAGAATGAGGCCGTGGAGGCATTTTGACACTGTGTGGGGCTGACAACACTCTTTTGACAGGACTCTGGGTACGCCTATCCTTTGGACACCCCTCGGTGGCGCTGGGTGTTTTACTGCATTTGGCAAGTGGTGTTTCATTTTTTTCTGAGTCGTTATACTGGACGACACCAGCCAATGTTCTGACTGCATTCTCATCGTCATTCACAGTACAGATTGGAGTGTTATTCAAACCTGGGTGAACAAGGATGAAAAGGATCAAACGACGAGATTAACTTTTTACCAGTTTTTTCAAATTATCAACAATTTCCCAACCAAATATTGTTAAATGTGCATAAAATGTCAAACTTCAAATTGTATGAACCAGTGGTAGGTGGACATTATTAGAAAGCCAATGTAGCCAATTTTGTTGCCAATACATGCATCCTTAAAATGTTCAACCATTTTGTCAGCCTTGAGAAACAGGCTCAAATCTTTCTTTTGTTCTAGAAGTCAATCTGAGAAGATTTGCCTCTATCCCAGATAAATCTCTCACTTCCAAGTCTTGATAATGATTAAGTATGCCAGTTTTACATTTCTGAAAGCATTCAAAATGCCTAGATGTGACAAAGCTCCCTATATAAGATACACTGGTTCTGTGTGTGTGTGTGCTTGTGGACAGTAAAGGAATTTTTGCCAGTAGGGATAAAAGACAAGGTAAGGCAGATAAGGAAGGAAGGGAGGGATGGAGGGAGGAAGAAGAAAAGAAGGAAGGAGGAAAAACTTAGCATAAAAAGACTTTTATTCTCATGTCAGAGACAGCTGGGTTCATTTACTCAAGTAACAGCCATTTGCTTTTGACTCAAATACAGGATTTGGTTCAAATATTAAAGACAGTTCTCCTCTTAGCATCAATGATAAGTCGTGTTGCATTGGACAGCTGAGGAGATGTGGATGTACAGGGCACTGCTCTTTGTTATCAATGAGTTATGTGAGACAATGAGAGATGGCAACTGTGTCTCTCACTAGGTTGCCAGGCAAGCTTCTGGATAGTGCTTTTCATACCCATTCTTCCAAATCTTCCTCTAGTGTCACTAGTCTCTCCCTGCTTATCTGTCTTCTCAGATGACATATAACAGTCTTTGCTGACAACCTTGTCCGAAATGCAGTCCATTACTCTCTGTCTCCTTATGCACTTGTCACTTACCATATTATATCCCTTTGCACGTTGCTTGTGTGAGCTGCACTAGGATGTAAGCTTCATGAGAGCAGGGATTTTGTCTGTTTTGTGTGCTATCTATTCCCAGTGCTTAGAACAGTGCCTGGCAGAAAGTAGGGGCTCGTTATTGAATGAAGGGATGAATAAACAACCAAATATAAGGCTTTTACTTAGTCAAATACTGAGAACTTCACTAGTAGAAACCGTTTTTAACTAGAAATGAGAATAAAAGTTTTAGAGACATCATCACACCTGGTCATTACACCTTAAACAACTAGGTTAGTGACTGGGCCAGGTACAAAGTGACCAATTTACCTACCCCCCCCAAAAAAAAAGAAAAGAAAAACTTAGCACACAAATAAATCAACGGAAAAGCTCTATTCTCTCTGCAATGTACTTTATGTAGTTAAAAAAAGTGTGTGGGTGTGTGTGTGTGTGTGTGTGTTGGAAGATTCTGCAGGAAAATATCCTACATTTAAACTTCTTTCCTTTTTGTTTTCCTTATTGGTTCTCCCTTTTTTTCATACATACACACACATGCACACACACACACACACACACACATACACACACACACACCACACATTCATCTGTATCTCACACTACAATTAAAGTAATATTAAAGAATTCAGATTCCATCTATCGAGAGTTAGGAAAGAACTATTAAAAGGAGTGTATGAGTATTAAGGGTCAAATAGAATGGCATTAAAGTGGCTTCCAGTCACATGGGACCTTAAATGACTTAAAGCTTGTCAAGGAAATGTGAAATTCAATGCAGCAGTGAAGGATTGAATCACAGTCTTGGTGAGGGTTGAATAACTTCCTTGAGTATGTAGAAGGATTACATAATGGAGTTGGCTCAAGACAAACCAGCTCCCCCTATAATGAAGCATTAAGTTCCTGTTTCTGAAGTGATTATAAAGGGGGGTTGACTTTATCTGTGGTTTTTTTTTTCCCAACATGGCTGTTTCATTAGTGAATGAGGGCTCTTTAACACTGGGGACATTTAAAATTAAACAGAGATTATTAAATAAGAAAAAAAAGCATGCTATTCTTACTTGTGAGGTAAGTTTAGTAAAAACCATTGTACAGGTGTACTTAAAATGAAGATAAAGATGAGCATGGTGGTATGCACTGGTAATCCCAATACATGGGAGGCTGAGCAGGAGAATTGCAAGTTTGAGGCCAACCTGGGCTATGTAGTGAGTTTCAGGTCAGCCTGGACTGCGTTGTAGGTAATAAATTATTGGGTATATTAGATTTTCTAACAGATTAGCTTTTGACACATAGTCATTTCATAAAGTTAAGCTCTTCCTATTCTCTGTAATGGAGATCATTAATTTGTAAATTAAATGGAATTTTTTTATAGGTGTTGATCTTAACCCCAGTTATTTCCCCCTCTTTCTTTAAGGTTATTTCTTTCTATTTTCATAGACAGCGTTTTTCTGGTTTGATCCCATCATCTCTGGCCATTTCTTTTCTGTTGCCTGGATTTTCTGTGTCATGCCAAGGCTTGGATGTTTTACACTTTTTAGAATCCTATTGGGTAATTCTTTGCTTTCCTAGGCAATAGCATTATAGTTTTAACCTGTATGGTCCTGATTTTCAAATCTATCTGAAAATAGGTGAATCCTTAGGCTTCAAGTCATTACATCCATTTTTTTACTTTGCCGTTCCCTCCTGAGTATTCTACCAGCACATCAAGTACAGCATTTTTGCAATGAAGTTGATGATCTTATCTTCCACAGATATTCCTCTTCCTATATACTTAAGACTAATTGGTCGGTCCACTTTTTGCCTTGCTAGTCAAATTAAAAATCTGGCAGTGGTTCTAGTTTCTTACTCTTTTTCATAAATGTTTAAGTTCTTTTTATTCTTTCTTTTCAATGTTTATCACATATATCTTTCTTGATCAAAACTTAAGTGAAATGTATCCCTGACACCCTTCCATTGATTTGTCCACCGCTATGCTACATTTGGATATTCAGCATACTCCTGAAATCATATATAACATGTAACAGAATTGTTTCCCATATCCTTATCTCCTCCAATTAGATTGTGAGCAAAACTGATTCATGTTTAGGTCCTTGGCCCAGTGCATGTGCATGTACAAATAGAAAACTTTAAGTTGGACTTCATAAACTTATTAATGATTTAATATTTTAAGTACTTATCAATGAGAATAGCATTAGATCTCACTGACTAAGAATTTGGATGTTGGTAAAATGGATTATTAGAATTATCTTTGTGGTAAAACTATGAAGCTAGTTTGTACTATTTTTGTGCTGAGTATAGGTTCAAAGTACATGTTGACTTTCAACATAGCTAATGGTAGTCCTAATAAAGCACTTTGCCTCATCTGCTTTTCATGTACTTCCAGTTACCAAGCTTTCTAGAATTGACATGAGTATCCTTGAAATATTTCCAGAGGAAATTTTCTACTCTGTTGAACATACATTTCTGTGTGAGTGTGTATTAGTATGAGTAAGGCTTTATAGTAGACACTGTATGGGATTTGAGGACATAAATATCACTCCCTCTCTTGCCAACAGTTTTATAGTGTATTATAAGTACAGAATAATTCAAAGCAGAATGTGAAATGAAATATAGAAGAGATATATATCAGGCCTTCTAGTCAGAAAAAACTATAGGCAGTTTAGTAATACTTGTTCTTTATATGAAAAGTTTCAGTTAAATATGCTTGTTTTTTGTTACTTTTTGCATGTAAGTTTTGAAAAACTCCTGGCCAAGATAATGCTATATATTACAAGAGACTTTAGGACATCCTTTTTTTTTTTTTTTATCTCCTTGGCCTTCATTTTCCTAATCTCCTTTAGGAATTTGACTCTGATGGTCACTGAGCCATTTCCTTGAATCTCGCATCCTTTTGCTGACTCTCTGTGCTTCTTACTCAGGCTTTTCCCTGTCTCTACCCTTCAGTTCACTCTTTACTTCTCTGCTCTCTTCCCCATCTCTTCACACTTAGATGACTAGATCCATCTTTTAACTTATCTGAGAATCTTTAGTGGGACTCTGCTCCTCTGCAACATTTTATAATACAACTAGAATAATTTTTTAAATGAAATCACTTGCTCAGAGACACACAACTACTAGATGTCTGTGGTAGTATATACATTCTGTTTAATTTAAAATACATCTGTGCCTGTATGATTTTTATATGGATGTAATTTAAACTCCCTTCTTTTATTTTTTTTAAAAATCAGTACTGGGGTTTGAACTCAGGTTCTCATGCTTGCTAGGCAGGCACTTTACCACTTGAGTCTTTCCTTTTATAAGAATTTGTAAGACTTTCCTTGTGGCAGCCACTCCTCAGAAAATTGAGATAAGTGTTGAACAAAACAGACACACCTACCACCTTCATGGAGCTCACAGTTTGGTGGAGGATGTCTGATATTAATCAAATAATCTTAAAAACATGTATGTAGATAGAAGCTGTAATAATTGCTATAGTGTATATTGTGATATATCCACCACCTACCTAGATCATGCCTTCAGGACTGAAGTGTTCAGCTTTCCAGCTGCTATGATTATCAGCCAGCCACTTATGGTTCAGGCTAAGGCCATCTTTGGGAATTGCTCCAACCTAAATGGCTGATGGGAGTTATGAAGCCTAGCACCTTTGAGTGGATTCACCTCTGATAGGCCATCCGAGCCACTCTACTGCCCCTTGTGGGATTAAAGAGTGTGTATAGATTGTAAGGGATAATTGTCAGTTCTACCTGGAATCTCTATCTTTCTTTCTTTTTTAAAATAGTACTAGATATTTTGTTTCATTATCCTTCCTTTATCTACCACTTCACAGCTGTGTTCAGGAGAAGAATGAGCCCATGCTCCTTGTCATGGTGATTGATTTTCTGGACCAGAGCCTTCTGAACTGTGCATGCCATTTCCCTGTCCATGAGACTTACTCAGACATGGCATGATACTTGACATGTACTGATAAAATATGAGGAAAGTTTTGATGGAATCTGCTGGGAAAGAAGCCAGTGAGGCAAGTAGAGGCAAAGCTCAAAACTTACATAGCCATGTTGTCACTATGAGAGAAGCAAGCCAGCTCTAGGATAAGGCTGACCTTGTGGAAGGCAGAGTGAGACACAAAAGAAAGTAGGTTGTTTATAACACCATTGGGCCATCAAGTAAAATATCTGAATCCCTCATTACTTCTAGACTTGAAGTTACTTGAACCAACAACCTCTTTGTTGTACAAACCAGTGTGATTCTTTTCTGTTACTTGCAACTGTAACCATCATTTCTGATTATACTCATTGGATTTGTCAAAATAAGGGTAGTGATAATATCAGCAAACACAATCTATGTGGGGTGGTGAGAGAGTTAGGCTATAGGTTGGAGTGGCTCGGGGTGAGGAAGTAAAAAACATAAGTATGAGTATCTCTTTGTTGTGAAGGAATATAAATTACTTAGCATGATATACAGAACCTATCTAAATGTGTTCTCTATTCACTTATTCCAATCCCAATTATCTCTTCTTTCTTCTCTATTTATTCCATAATAGGCATGTCTGTCATCTTCTAGCCAATGTCCTAATGTACTTTTCTTTGTTAACACTTGCTTTTCTTTACTTGTCTTGTTTATATATTGTGACATTTTATAGAATAGCTTGGAAAGCCAGGAAATCTAGCTCCTGAAGTCAGGCTTTTGCCTATATTTTTCACTCCAAGTAAATTTTTTTGAATATAAGGATGGATGGATAGATAACTGAATAAACAGATTATCAATATTCATGTCTTTAAATGCCACTTCTATATTAATGACTCCCAAGTGTACATCTGTACTGCTGACTTCTCATTCGAAATCCACACCATGTGGACTAGATCATTTTCATTCAAATGTGTGGTGTCTGTGCACATGCAGTATGTGTACCACAGTCTGACTTGAATGTGAGTTCCACAAGGGCAGGGACACTTTTTCTTCACTGTTATATTTCCTACATTTTGAATAGGAATTGCTATATATTAGAGTTAAAATAAATATCTGCTGAATGAATTAACTTTATCATCTCCCGCTTATCTTTCTTGTTTCAGCAAAAGCATCATATTTTTTAGCCATGATAACCTAGGGTGGGGATGGTGGTGAAGGTCATGTGCTCTCTTTATTTGTTATTCTTCACACTCTGTACTAATCAATTACCAGGACCTTTTGATTTTTTTCCCTACAAACTCTGTCCAGCCTTATAATTAGCCATTGCATAGCCTAGATGTGTGTGCGCATATGTTTGCACAGGTGTATCAGCCTCATAATTCTCTTTATTTTCAAGGTCTTCTCTTTTTCCAGCAAAGGATGGCTCATTTTTAATCATTCCATGAAAATCTAACTTTTTTTGTCACTTCAGGAATATGACACATTTCCATCTGCTAGGGACTCCTTATTACAGCAGTTCTTATTTAGGAGATGATGCAGGGCATTCAAATCTCAGAGACAGGTGTGAACGTCTATTGATTGAGCCCAACAGTTGAGTTTGTCATGCTACTGTGAGGGGAAAAGACCCACAAGCACCCTGTCCTAGACAAACTGACCAGTTCATTCTATTAAAGACTCAACAGTTCTGCTTGCTTTTTGTATACTTCATAACCTTAAGAAATATACCCATTAAAACATTTCTTCTCTTTTCACCCTTCTAGAACCATATATATATGTGTATATATATATATATATATAATGTAAAAAAATGTATAATTTTTTGTTCTTTAATCCAAGCTAAGAGGAGATATTGTCACTAATGTCTAATTTCCAAGAAATCTATTGCATAGGCAGAGGGAGGGAGGGAGGGAGGGAAGGAAGGAAGGAAGGAAGGAGAAAAAGAGATGGAAGAAATAAATGAAGGAAGGAAGAAACAAGTAAAAAAAGAGTGATGGAGAGAGAGAGGAAATATATGCTTCCCTGTGGCTGATATTTGTCCAACAGTTGCTGGCATGGCTATACAGATAGTTAAAATATTAAAATATTAAAATTGACCAATTGGTCAATTCTTTCCTGAGCTCCTTGAGTGGCCTTTATGGACCTAGCCACTTTGGCCCCTTTCCAGGTCCCTGTCTTAACAATCAAGCAACCCAAAGTTAATATCTGGCAGAGGAAGGCCTGTAGGCTCTTTAGCTCCAGTGCTGGCATCTAGTTCCAGTAGTCAGTGTCCATGCCCTACCAGTGGCTAAACATTTTGAATAGCTGCCCTATGTTTACCCACTAGAATCATCAAGTAACCCATGTGTGAGGGAAGGAGACACATCCTAGGACATTAAGTCCCCTTACCTTTGATGTGGCAAACTCTTCTGGGGTGAGGAGTGTGCCTGACTAGAAAGCAGTTTCTATTTCTAGCCATAATTTGGTTGCCTTTGATCTCAAATTTAGGAGCAGATGTTGGAGTGTTGAGGTTTGTGTCCATGGTGTTTGGTTTCTCTCTCTTCACTGTTGCCACCAAAGTTCTTAGGGTCTAACTTGATTGACCTCGCTTCCAGATGTGCTTAGACCCTGAAAGCACAACATGACAAGTGTTCTGAGGAGAAGTTCTTGACATGTTCTTATACATCAAACGTTTCTCGTCTTTTCACTGAATTGTTTCTCATTTCAAAGCAATGTGAGGCTATTTTGCTTTCAAACCAAATTTTTGTAAACATTGAGCAGAATAGGTCTGAGTAGACCATAAAAAATTTCCCCTGTAAAAATCACAGTATTTGTGAAAAAACATAAATTGTGTTTTATTTTTAGTTGCATTTAAGGTCACTTTGTTGCCTTATCAACAATAATACATTACATGATTATCATCAGTTTCAATATAGTAAATTAAAATTATGGATCTAAAATATAATACCCACAAATGTGCTTTACATTAAATTAGCCTTTAATGAGGACCTTTCGCATTGTATTTTTAGAAAATTACCATTTCAAATTTGTATCATCTGAGAAGATGGTAAAATCTACAGTAGAAAAAGAACCAAAAGAATATTACATCTACAGACCAATCATGTTGTTCACAACATTTAATAATATTTAATGTTCCTTTGATCATTCAGAAAGCATTTATTAGACCCCTCAAGTGTTATAGCCTTGGGGATTGAAGATAATGTAATGGTTCTTGGTAAACCCATAACCATGTGAGAAAGAAGGTATGTGAATTCAGAGCATAAGAAAGAATTATTTGAATTTTCTTGAGGATAGTATACAACTCCTGAAATTTAGGAAGCATGTTTTCCTGGTGGTTTTTGTATATTTCCTATCTTATATGGAAGCCTATTCATTAGACCAGAACTGGATATTTACATTTTTATTTCTACCCAAGGCAGGGAATTTGGGTGTCAGAATAATTTGTGGTGTTGAAACATGTTCACGTGCTAGAAATTGAACTCAGGATGTTGTTGGGTGGATATTTTTAGTTTATTTATTATCTTTTTATACCACAGCAATCTGACTTTCTCATCCTATATGTTTAGAGTGTATATTGTCATAGATTATTTGACTTTTTAAAATTTCAATTTGATATAAGTTCTAAAATTATCCTAGGTTTGATAAAATATATTTAAATATCAAGTTCAAAAATACCATTAGCTAACAATAAAAACTATATTTTGTCATTGCTCCTTAACCTCTTGTGTAATCAAACTTTAGACTTAGTGTTCCTAAGTGGACCTTTTGTACAATCAAATCAGTAAACTCTTTTTTAATCTAATTGGGAAAAAAGTGTGCATCAGGCAATTTGGGTAGTGGACAGGATGCTAAACTGGAATAAAAAATGGGACTTAGGTTTCCAGCTTTGCCATTATCCAAGAAAACAACCAAAATTGTTCATTGTAACCTGATTGGACTGACTTAAATGTCAGCTGTAATATTCAGTTTTTATCCTATGTTACCTCTTAAGGTAGGTTTGAAAGGAAGTGATACAGTTTAAATTTTGGTATAATAGATCAATAAGAAAACAATGCAAAACTTCTCTCTCTTCTCTTATCAAAATAGCAGTGCCTCCTGAAAATCTGAACTTTATCTTGCACTTATATTTTGAAGAGATTCTGTAGTACACTAACAGAAAACTTAATCTGAAGCCAGACATAGTGGCACAGCACCTAATCCCAGCACTTGGAAGGCTGGGACAGAAGGATCACTAGTTCAAGCCCAGCTTGGTCTATGTAGTAACTTTAAAGCCAGGCTGGGTTACACAGCAAGACCCTATTTCAAAACAAAAGCAAGCAAAAATTTAATCTGATAACATGTTTTAATTGTTTACGAATAATGTTTAAGGAATGTAAAACATTTTATCTACATATATCACTCAAAATTCTACAAGACCGAAAATACATTGTTTGTAAATTACTTTTAGAAATAATAGCCCATTTCCTTAAAATAGACTTATTTGTCTTTTGCATGTCTTTAAGATGAATTTGAATTCAAGTAAATAATAATAATTTTAGAAAATTATTTCAGTGATGAATTTAATATTATACCACGGGGGGAAAAGGGGGCTTGAAGGGGGAGTAGAGTGGGGGCAATATAACCAATGTATAATGTAAGGCTATATGGAATTATCACAATGAATTCTTCCTGTACAATGAATATATGCTAATAAAAATGAAAAAAATTATACCTGAGGACAGTTTTTAAGGTAGATGATCTGGTTCACAGGAACTCAAGTTTGTTGATACCATTCCAGCCTCATAATGGGGCTAGACTAAGTTTTTATTCCTTAAATCTTTGCACTGAAGCTGAGGATTTTTGATTGGCAGGAATAGACTAATGTCTAATGTCTCCAAAAGAATCCAGCTGTGTCCCTCCAGTTTCTCCCACTCTCACTCCAAGGAGCCTATGTGTCTCCCTGGTTGTTAAGATACACTACACAGCTTAGCAACATGGTAACATTCTGTGGGAAGATCTGAATTCCAGAATCTTTGTATCTTCATCCCTCACAGACCTCTAATTGTAGACAAAGCAATGTAGGAGCAAACAAGTTTTCTCAATTTTGGACAAATGATAAGAGTTGCATCAATTTCAAGAGAAAGAAAAAAGAGAAGAGCAAAACAAATCATCTTGATAATTCTTCCCACAGTTCTGCTTAAAGAACATTTACTATGTGACATAATCATACGTGGCTTAATGAAAAACCTTTGGGTGATAGTGTGAATGATTTTGAAGGTTTCCCAATGTGAATGAAATAGGACATTCAGGTGTCAGGGTGTCCATGCTGACAAATAGTTCACGACCTGAAAAATTAGTTGAAACATCAATTGAAAGTCATAGGACAGCTTAAACTTGTATATACAATACTATCAGGATTATTTAACCTTAATCACCTCCTTGAAATCTCTATCTCTAAATACTGTTCACACTGGGAGTTAAGGTTTCAACATACGAGTTTTGGAGGGATACATCCCAGTCCATAACAATCTAAAACTATCTGTGGATAATGAACACTCATGGCAATACCCTGTTTATGCTGTTTTCAAAATCACTGATCACCACTCATGAATTTATACACATACTCAAAAGAATCTCTAATTTCTATCTTTGCTAAACATAATAGAGTAAGGATACAAGAGTACTTGGGCTTCATTGAGCTGTGCAGCAGAGCCACCTCTGTCCCCTTGGTTCTGACAGAATTAATGCAGACTATGTCCAGATAAGCTAGTGGCATATTTTTTTTCTTATTAATGAGACAACAAAGGTCCTCATGTTGCTTCATAAAAGGAATAAAACAGAACCATAGTTACTTAGTCAGGCAGATATTTTCCTTTGCTGGCTCTCTCTGAGGAAGGCACAACCACACAGGTATAGACCTCTGTTACACAGATTTAGATACAAATGTCAAGATCTGTGGCAGAGATAGCTGTTTACAACCCAATATATGTTTTCTCCCCCCTTTTACAATTCAAGTCTATGGGCCCTGTTAAAAAGCTATATTTTCTATCCTCCTTTGTAGCTAGAAGTGGTCAATGCAACCTGTTTATTGGTGGGGACTAATGGAAAGGCTCTTTAGAAGATAGACAAATAGCATGTGACCTTGTATGCCTGTACACTATCCCTTTATTTTGCCAAAAGGGTGGGTCTCTTATCTGATGTAACTGGTGTTGAGAGAAAGAAGAGACACCAGAGACCTCTTTGTGCATGAATAGAGCAAAGTCCATGTGAAGACAAGTGACAATGTCCCATCTATGTCCAGAAAGGAGGGCCTTGCAAGACACCAAATTTGCTGGTTCCTTGATTTTGAATTTCTTAGCTTCTGGACTGTAAGAAAATTAATTTGTTGTTTGAGCCACTCAGTCTGTGGCATTCTTTAATGGCAGCCTAAGCACACTAATCCAAGTGTGAATATGCAGTTATATCTTAGAGCTATGAAATGGTTAGGACTACTAATTTTGGCCACTTAGAACCTTAAAAAATTACAAAGAAGTTCTTCCTCTCCAAAAAAAAAGAGTTTATATCAGCTTTAGGATATTTCATATATTAAAACCTGGGTTTAAATCAAAACTACATTGAGATTCCACCTCACCCCAATCAGAATGACTATCATCAATAACACAAACAACAACAAAAGCTGCTGAGGATGTGGGGAATAAGGAACACTTCTATACTGCTGGTGGGAATGTAAATTAGTATAACCACTATGGAAAGCAATATGGAGGTCCTCAAAAACCTAAGGGTAGAGCTACCATTCGATCCAGCAATACCACTCCTAGGCATATATCTGAAGGAATGTACTCAGGATATGCTAGACCCACTTGCACACCCATGTTTATTGAAGCACTATTTACAATAGCCAAGCTTTGGAAGCAGCACAAATGCCCCACAACTGAAGAATGGGTTAAGCAAATGTGTTATATATGTGCAATGGAGTTTTATTCACCCATAAAGAAGAATGAAATTATATTGTTGCAGGTAAATGGATGAAAGTGGAGAGCTTCAAGTTAAGTGAAATAAGCCAACTCAAAAAATCAAGGATCACATGTTTTGTTTCATATGTGGAAACTAGACATATAAGTTAAATATATATAGAGAAACATGCATGATTTTATATTTGTGAGTGTGTGTGTGTGTGTGTGTGTGTGTGTAGTGAGAAAGAGAACAAAATTGTAATAGTGAGTCCATCTGAGGGGCTACAGGAGGCAGGAGAGATAAAGAAAATGTTAGATAATGGAAAATATCAACAACCCATCTATATATGAATATAATATAATATACAATATGCTATTGAGTACGAGAGGAGCATGGTGATAATGAATAAGCAACCAAGGGGAGGGAATAATTTGTTTAAACACAATATATGCAGATTTGAAATACCAAGGTGAAGCCCATGGACTATCAATATACACTTAATAAAAAAAGGAAAGGCTGGAAGAAAAAACTAAATCTTTTCTGGGGGTGGATACCAGTGGGAAGGGGTGGGCACAAGGAAAGGGGGAG